TTCTGGAGGATTAAGATTTAAATTATTAATAGCTGGGTGTAGAGGCACACACCTATTATCCATCTCGATTGAGTGAATTGATCAATCGCACCGAGAAAATGCGCAAGAGACATACCCACCTCTGTAGGGCTACAAAAATATGAAAGGTAGTACAGAGTGGTAGGTTGGAGACCAATCCTTGTGAAGTTATTTATATTATCCTTTGGAATTTCTTAAGGCTCTCCTGCAAAAATTTGGCATGTTACAATTATATCCACCCCAAGAGATCAGGAATTGTCATGATTCAGTGACAATAGGATTCAAGAATCACGTCTTGTTTGGCTATTGTTACAGGGGGGAAAACCTATTGTTATATTTTTACAGTCTTATTTTTTTGTTTCTTCTCGTATGTTCTGTCCCGTTTGTTCGTTTTAAAGGTTCTTGATACTCAATTGTTTGGGTAAAGAGAAGGAATTATCGAATCTAAATCACGGGTTGGTTCATTATAGCATCTCTTTGTAGTTCATGGATTAAAATGAGCACCTCCTTGTGGGAGGTCATATATGGGCCCTGCCTTGGGAATGTGGCATTTCTAACAGTGGCTGCTGAGATGGTTGCTTACATGGTTGCTTGTTTGATGAGGAATAAATTGTCTTTTGTTTGAGTTTTACGTGGATTTCCTATGTAATGAAGATGCAGTGTGAAAGGCCACGGGTAATATCAGAAGCAATTGCTAAGCCATTAGAAATCTGTAGCATTGCCAATGAATTTGTTTTCAGTTAGTTGACTATTGAATTGCAAAGCATTAGGTTATTTTATTTGTTAACGGCAAATAAAAAAAAGTGTGTTCATTTTACTTTACAATTTATTTCAAACATGATTTAAACTTCGCTGGTGAAGGAACTTCCCAGGGTTTATTTTGGCGTCAGCATCTTATTGGAATGTTATCCAACCTTGGAGCGGGAGTGGTATGCAGAACGGAAGTGTTAATGTTTGCTCCCAAAGGGTAGGGAGAGTAACTTTGCGTTCATTGCAGTTCTTGTGTGTTCAACTTCAGATGCGTTTGTGTGTAAAATCTTACTGTGTACGTATTCGTGTGTTTGGCCACTTGATCTCAAAGTGCACCTAGCCTGGCACAATCAATGGTGATGACACCACTGTATAATAGTGCTATTTTAGTCTGGCTTGGGCCTCTTCTAAATGTTTATGGCCTTTAATGTGTACCAGGTGCAGCCTATAGACATCAGCATTTAAGTGGCAAAGGTGGCTCAGTATGCTGTTGGCCACACTACCCTCTCTTACTACTGTGGCAACCGTAATATGTGCTTGCTGACAATATACTACAGTTATCCCCAACTCTAGTTGTGCCTTAAAAGGAACCATCTTTATTTTTGAATGTGTATATAAATGTGTACATGAGTTTCTGTGCACGTGTGTACGTACAACTTATTTAGCATATTTATGCACAAATGCTTCTCAAAAGACCAGCGCTGAGATATTTATGTTTCCTGTACTTTGCTTTGAATCTGTTCCAAATATGTAATCTTCTCTTTTCACTTTCCCTCCTCCCACGCTCATTATTTATTGATATGAATGATGTTTGCATGAACTAGTCTTGGAAGGGAGCAGCTGCATCAAATATACTGCATATGGACATATATAATCAGCTGGGGATAATGATGCGATTTAGGCAACATTAAACACCCTTGCAATCAAGACCTTGCGTCAGGCCCCTTAGTCCAAACTACACATTTCCCAAGCAGCCATTATTTTACTGAGTAAAGTAATGTTTTGACCTTGATGTGAAAGCTGTAATTTACAGTGTTTTGTAAAAAAAAAAAGTTTTTGTCCTATAAATGATGATGACATGAGTTCTATATTTATCATGGAATGCTTTTACCAAGTCTCAAGACAATTTTTCAGCAAGATTCTAAGTGCTTTGGATGTTTCGCCAAATCCTTGTTGAGTATTTTTTGCCTATGTAGGAAACAGAAAGTGGGAGTTAACTAAAAACATTTCGATTTAAAACTTTCGTGACTGCAAGGATTCATCTTCTTTGGTTCTTTCGGTAAAGTCACGTAGAATGAGAATAAAAAATAAAATAACACAATAAAATTCTCACGACGTTTCGGCCACAACGCAAGTGGCCGTCTTCAGGTGAAAGGTACAGACCTGTCGGGACGACAGAGCTTCAATGAACGATGTTAAGATTCGTAGCGACTTTTAAGCTGGTTTGGAGAAGTGAGGCACCGTGACAAAGGGGTTTACATATCAAATAGCTGAGGGTTTAGCTTGTGACTGGTCACAGGAATGGCTATGTTAAAGTCAAAACCTACACATCCACAGAGGCAACTAGTAATTTCGCATTGTTCATTGAAGCTCTGTCGTCCCGACAGGTCTGTACCTTTCACCTGAAGACGGCCGCTTGCGTTGTGGCCGAAACGTCGTGAGAATTTTATTGTGTTATTTTATTTTTTATTCTCATTCTACGTGACTTTACCGAAAGAACCAAAGAAAACTAAAAACATGTTTATTTTTTTAGTTTAACCTCCGATTAACACGGTTGGCTATGTACGGTATGAATTAATTTAATATGCATACATACAGGTGAGAACGTAAAAGGCAAGAATAGTCTTCATTTCCAAAAGTAACCTGAGTCATTAGTCTGCCAGTAGGGGGGGGAGGCAATGATTGCTGTTTATAGTCCAAATCTAACAATTTGCAGGTTAAATTTTGATTTAAAGCTTTCATGACTGCAGGGATTCATATTCTTGGTTCTTTCGGTAAAGTCACGTAGAAGGGAAACAAAGTATTAAATGTTTTCCCTTTTCACCACTCAGTTTTTGCAATCCAAGTCCTATGAAAAATAAAAATTGTTTATAGAATGCGCCCACCTGGATTTTGACAGCACTTTGATAACACACTTTTTTTTTGTCAAATGAAAAGTCTGTGCCTATTTGTCAAGGCAATGGCCATAATCAGTACATGGAGGATTGAACATGTTGTTCGAGTGCATTGTTGCAATACCCAAACATTAACCATATGGTCATTCTTAATGTGAGGGTGGATCAGGGGGCTAATACTTTTGGCAGAGCATTCGGCCAGCAACTATGAGAAACTAAGGTGCGGAGGATGATGGGAAGCTCATGGAAGGATAGAATAAGCTACATGTAAGTTTGGAATGTAACCTCCCAAGGAAGTGTTATGTAGATGTGATCAGGTAAGAGTGGTTGTGATGACTGAGGTGTATTTGCATAATATAATAGGGCAGGTTACTGAGATGTAATGAAAGTCAACATGCCAATGTGCCCATAGAAGAACAGTTTAATCACTGTCTGTTGCTTGCTATGACAAGGAATCGGATATCTTAACATCGATAAAGAAAATGCAATCATCCTGAGAAGTACGCAAAGTAGTGTGGAGAGGTGTATGTCAGCCAAAGGAGAGGGGACATGCCCAAGTAGACATCCACTTGGGAAATGGTGCAATGAGATCAGTCCTGAGGCAGGTGCTGGATTGATTGTTAATTTGTAGGACTCGGGAGATGGTGACATATTGGTGACATGGCTGATGATGATGAGTGAGATGTGTGTGGGTTATGCCTAAGCGTTCTATACTAGCCGATACGTTCTATATGTATATGGGTTTATACACAATATACACGAGCCCAAACGTCAAATAAAGTTCAAGCAGCGAACCAAATAGTCTACATCTGGGAGCCTCGCTGACTTCTGTACAGAACTGTTATTCTTCAGCCGTGTACTCGCAACTTTTAAATGTTGACGTGACCCCATTCAGGAGCTTCACAACCCCACTCACGAGGTTGCTTTTTTTTCAGAGCCACACCACGGCCACATCTGTTAGTTGTCCCCTGCTGTCGAGGATGCCGGTGCTCTCACTGGCTACAGCGTTCCACACCAGCAGCATTTCACGCCACCCTTTTTTTTAAATGCTTTCCAACTGAGAGTTGGAAGCATTCGTGCATTTAGCACGGTGCTTCCGTAGTGGGGAGGGTACCACTATAACTCTCGTAAAGATGATGCAATGTAAATGAAACTGAAACGTAACGTTGTATTTAGTTAAGGCCAAATGTATTAAAGAGTTGCTTGAAACTTTGAGAGATAATCTGGAGCAAAAAGGACCACTGTATTTGCTGACATGCAAATGCATTCTGCCCTGACGGCAATCTGTCTGCTTCCACTTTGCGAGTGAATTATTTCTGAGGACAAATGCATGTGGGAAAGAGTAACACAATCCATACATATGCATGGCCTTCTTATACCTCTCGGGAGCAAATAACTCCCTATACTTGCAAGCGCGCATGCATCGTGTGCTATTAATATCTCTTCAGCTAAATATTTTGATTGTCAGAAGATTGTAATTGTTTGTAATTGTGTGGTTTCAAAAAAACGTTATTTGTTTATGATGTAATGTTTGCTCAATTATGTGCTGTTTAGTTAAAAGCTCGCACGTGTAGATCGACCCGTTCATACATGAACACGTGCGTTTACTGGTACATCCATGTGAACTTGTACACGTGTAGGTATTGTTTCACTTCCTCTGTGATATTCCACCATTGGTAAGCAGCTTTAGCTGGACACCTGTGAAAAAGAGTTCCGTAGCTCAGTGGGTTCTTCCAGCTTAAATAAAAATTTACATGTCTATGTGCATGAAGAATTGGAATAGTGGTGTTATGCTTAGTGCTCGGCATGTTACGATGCATTGATTCATATATTAATTCAAATCTCATGCTCATGATAGGTCAGCTCGGCCCTGATGGTATCATCACTATCACCACCGAAAAAAATCGTACGTGGCACTGACCTGTGACACTGTTGTATCTATGTATATTGAATTTCTTTCACACTTTACGTAGCCAACCGTGCTCATCGGATATGCAGGGGAAGGACAACAAACTGTATCAGGAATAACGAGTGTTCACTTACAATGATTGGCTGAGCAGACTGGCAAGGTTAATGAGGTGTATTGGTGTGTGTGTGTCTGCGCGTGTGTGTGCGCAGAGGCGAGTCTGGTGCAGGTAAAACTGAAAACACTAAGAAGGTGATCCAGTACCTGGCTCACGTCGCCTCTTCGCACAAAGGACGCAAGGATCATGGTGCTCCCGTGAGTCCAACGTTGCACTCACCCCGAACTGGCATAGATTTTTTTACCAAAACTCATCTGACACTCCAAACTCACACCAGGGTTGCTTTAAGCTCACATTGATATAATACCAAATTCATCATAACGGTCTCCAAATCCAAACCAGACTCGTTAAAAACTTGCACCACGTTCAAATAAATATTGCCCTAAAGTCTCCTGATAATTCACCTCAAGCTCTCCCCAGATGTATCCCAGACTATTCCCAATTTACCCAAAAATTCCAACAATTTGGATTGTTTATCAAGCTAAATTTGTCTTGTGTATTTAGAACTAATCCGAAAAGTTTTCCATTGGTCCATCCTCATCACATGGGGTGTGCCGTACAATTATTGAACACTTGCTCCCTCTACAGGAAGGTCTATTGAAAATGAAGGGAACTCTCGAGTAAGTGGAAATGTAATGAAATGTTAAAGTGAAATCTTGTTCGCCTGTGTTTTCTTGACAGCAGCCACTAGTTTTTGTATTGCACAATGGAGACTAAATAATAAAATTAATTGGCAAACATTAAAAAAGGCCTTTTAATCTCCATTAAGAATAATTCTGAGACCCTTTTCAATACATTGCTGGATCCATTGCTGCATAAAGGCCTCCCTCCCCATAGGATCTCAGTCAATTAAGGTTGTTTGATTACTTCATGCCTGTCAGTTGCGTTTGGTGAAGGGGGGCTGATTCTGAAATCACTCTCCACTGATGTTAGCTGTGGGCATCAATCACACCTTCATTGAGTTTATTGCGCAATGTGCCACCCATTTAACAACCGTTATTCGAGAGTTAAAACTGCATTGTCGGTAACTCATTCCCGCAGCACATCGCGACGTTGAGTAGACATGGCAAAAAATGTATATTTAAGTATCTACAGATACTCACAGATACTATCAAATGTGGCTTCATTGGAACCAGACTGATCATCAAATTTTGAATACGATGACATTTGTTGACCTTTGACCTTTTTTTTTACAAATGCACAATTAACCAACGTAAAAAATTACAACAAACCCCTTTTGTGTGTTCCCTAACGGCAAAAGTCTAATTAATTCAACTGATTAGCATTCCTTTTCATTAACTATGCAGTTTCCATTCCGCGAGTCCTCATCTTTGGATGGGCGTTTGCTCATTCAGAATAACATTTATTGGTCAGGTTAGCAATCTAATGCCAAATATCCAAGTTTAAATCACACCATTCGTTAAGTTCATTTGATGGTTACGGATGATGTTGTTGTTGTTGACAAATTGTGCTAATTTTTATCTTCCAACCCTCCTCCCCATCACCCACCGCCGCTGACGCCGTTACTTCAAATCTCCGTGTGCCCTGCAATGTGTCGATTCGCTTCTCTCAAACCCCCTCCCCAACAAACCCCCAACGTTGCTGCAGAAAGCGGCGGAGATTTCGTTTGTGAGTAGACCATATGCCCAGTGCTCCTGTGCCGTGGAACACACACACACGCACACACCCACACATGCACATTTACCATTTGACAATACCATTAGGTTGGCTTTACTGCAGTGTCGAAGGTTAAGTGCAGCAGAAAATACTGAAAAGCTTTACTTTGCATATGATGAGAATTGTTCAGTTTGCTCAAGTTAAAGGGTCTGCATACTCTTAACGAGTATTAGGATGTTGTTCATCTTATTCATTGGCTCTGAGTTAGTGATATAAATTCCACATTCCTGTGGTGGTTGGGGGAAGTCTCTCCATAGGATCACTACTTTTGACTTCCAACAAAGTGGTTCTCTTATTGTGAACCCTGGATGAATGATAGGAAGTTCCCCCCCCCCATCTAGAAATTGAACTTGCAACCTCCCAGTTTTGAGTTTTATCTGCAAATGCACATGGCTGCATATCCAGCAGTAATTATTGTTTGTTAATCAGTGGTTTAACTCTTTAATTGAGAATTTTAAACATTCTCATTGATAGATCATAAAAACAATGTAAAATGTTTTAGAGTCCCAATCTCTAAGATTTTTGTTTGGATTTTTGGCTTGTGCCATGAGCAAGTAGTGCAGCATATAGATTGTTGACCTGTTTGTGAATATGTTTTGATTATCTCATGTTTGGGTGTTCTCCATATTCTCTAGTTTTCTCCCATGCGCAAAATTAGGCCAGAAGGAATTGGATTAGCATAACAAGCAGCACCCTTCTAAAAAGTATACTTCATTCTCAGTGAAGCTTCCCTGCCTGAAAAAAAACACATTAAAATATATAATTTAATGACATTTTTTTTATTTTGTAGTTTTTTGCCCAGCAAATATATTGCAAATGTACGAACATAAAATGTAAAACAGATTAACAAAACAGTTATAAAAGAATGATGTAACCAGGTATTTTGTCGTAAAGCCAACCAATGTGTTGTATAACACACCAGAACTACACCAAACCATTGCATGCATGACTCCATACATGCTTTGCACGATCGGCTTTGCATGCATATTGTTTCATATGGCTTATCGTTGCAACCCCACACAGCAGTGATGATTTCCTGGATGTGATACTGCGTGACCATATAAGGGAAGGCAAATTCTAAAAAAATGCTTAGAAGAATGATGTTCAAGTCTCTTTGCCTCGAAGTGCTTAACTTTTGAAATTCCTATTTTGAACCTTTACAAATTCCTACGAGAACTGAGGTTTTTTTCTACATTTTTTTAGCCAGGCACTCTTGACCAGCCGAGTGAGCTACATGTCAAATTGTTTCTGTGTTTAGGTTATTGAGTCTCTCACTGGATTCTAAAAATTGATTTAAAAAATGTACTGTTGCCAACTTTTAAAATTGAGTATGAATGAAGATGGCAGGGCAGCTCAAAGGAGCTCATAGTGGCCATGTTCGAGGACTGAGCCCAACACCACTGAGATCCTGGTGTTTCAATCTCAAGTTATATGGTCCAAGTAAAATGTATAACTGATTGTAAAAAACGATCATTTCTTAAATGTAGTTGTCACTTGACTAAAATTTGCATTACGGACTATGACATTGGAACACAATCAATACCTCTAATGAGTAATGCCACATGATCGTAAATTCTCCATCTAACAGCAAGCGTGACACTGATTTTTTTTAAATATCATTAGTAACAATAATGGGCTGCAGGAAATTGCTGGGCAGCTATAGCTGTAACCACATTAATGTTACGGAGGCTGGTGTAAGACTTTTGCCCAATGGGCTCTCATAGCTTCCAGTGAAAACGAACTGTGTAACTGTTTGGGTCGCGCAGTCACTGTCCTGAGTTTAGCCTCACTGCCCTGTTGGACAACAATGCTTTGTTCGTGATCATTCCATCTCCCTCCCACTGCATGTAAAGCAACAGAAAATGTTCTTCTATGGATGTCTAGACTTTGGTTTGAAGCCCCCCTCCCTATTCAACAACAAATTTGAGTTAATATTGAAAGATGATAAACATAACCACATTTGCATTCATTTACTATTTTTATCTTGACCTATTGATAAAGTGTTACACGTGTATTCATTATATTCCAGGGGTAAATACATTATTTTATTGATAAAATATATTTAATGCATTTGCGTACGTCTAAAGATAGATTACTTTACAGCCCTCTGTAAATCTACTACTGGATTGTCAGTCATGGGGATCGTTTGACCATACTTCACCATGTTGGTCAGCGAGGGTTGTTGAAGGTGGGGACCAGGACCAGTTCACATATCAGATTGTAGCCATGGCCGGGAACCGAACTAAGCTCACTGCCATTCATAGTGTGTTGTAACATTGAAAACTGTCATTCTGTTCATGTGAACATGAACAACACTCTTTACATTATTTGCTAAGAGGCTGTGGTGAAAACTCGACATTCCTATGCCAGGAGATCCAGTCTTTCGCAAAGTACGACGACTATTGGCTCGTTTTATAGACCAAGTAGACCCACATCTGTTTTATGATTGTAAGTCGAATACTTTAACCAGCGCCACCTGGCTGGGAGTAGTGTATATATATATGATTTTTGTGATTTTTCTTTGACTAAAAATAGAGGAATAAAATAGTAATTGGTAGGCAGCTTTTGTTCAACCAATTAAGAAACCATTAATAATATAATTTATCAAAAGCCTGATCATGCACAATGACGATTTAAACATAGATTTCATCAAATAGTTAAACATGCTTTTAAAAAAATGCTTGCAGTGGGAGAGAGCATATACTTAAGTGTATCCATGCATATATCCAATGCTGTGTGTACATGTGTTTGGTGTATTTGTGCCATGTTTTGTTATTATACCCATTGCTTCATCATGGATGCCTGCCTCCATTAGTAACATTATACAATTGACTGGTCTATGAATGTCTCTATTTTTCGTAAGTTACTTAAAACCATTGCTATGAAACTTACAGAAAAAAAAACATAATTCGAACATTTTGTATAATTCCAGTGAGTTGTAAAATGGATCAGCCAAAATGATTGATAACTGCCATCCATTTCATTTTTACAAGGGGTTATCCAGGTGGCTTGGAAATCTGCTATCTTAAGAAACAAGTTAAAGGAAACCTCCCCATTTACGATGACAGTGGTACAGCCCAAATTTGATGCTTCACACCTCATGCCTGCGTGTCATGGGTGTTTCACTCAGTGGAGCAGTTCACTTATCGTGAGAGGTTTTTAATTAATTATTTAATCGAATGAACACTACCTGGATATAACCCCACTGTGAAGTATATGCCAGCCTTCCCGAAATGAAGAAAACATCTCGTACTTAAGTGCTACTTTAATTCGTTTCCATATTTTGGAAATATAAATTAAACTATATATATTTGTATGTATTAATGAGCTGAACAAAGTTGGTTTATACGGGATGGTTGGCACTTTACACTCCTTGTTCAGAGAGCGCGAGATACATATTCCATTTACTCATGTTTGCTGTGTCAGCATGGCTCGCCAGTGCAAGGCATTCATATTTGTACAGTAACATTAGTCTCCATTGTCCATGCACTCACCGCCCACCACACCCACAACTCAGACCAGAGGCGGCACAGGGGCCCTGAGGAAGGAAATGGGGTCTTTAGTTTGGACATTTGGTGCTTGGACAACACTTGTCTCCTTACGTTTGGAGAACAAGTCCAAGTCAATTTAATTTTTTTGCTTAAACACGTGGCACATTTATGGCACAAATCTGCCACCCAAAGTGCCATCACGTTAATATTCAAACATAATAATATACAATTCTTTACAATGAGAAAATATACTCTCTAAAGTTGTTTCAAATATACATGGAGCGTCTTAGCATCTTGAAATTTTAGTTCCAGGAAATTGGGATTCAAGCCAAGGCATGGGAATACAAGTGGCAAAGGGAGGGTGGAATTGTGGGTTCCTTCCAGCCAATCAGAGATGAGGAATTTTAGATCTTGGATGGTATCTAAGCAAATTGGAAAAGCATCTTCCCTCGAGGTGGCTCGGTGTCTCATGGGATTAACAATGGCTGTATTTCATCATTAGACCTCCTTTGCCAGTACCAATATATAATAATAGGGTTTTTGCCTTTTTTTCTGGCAACAAAACTGAAACCTTTTCACGAGGATTCATGTCTGCATTAACCACAATACCTGCAGTCAAAATGCAAACAAGAAAGAAAGCCGTCCCTTGGTGTGGACCAATCGGTTTCAAGGACAATGCATATATTATCATAGTGTGTTTTTTGTTTGCATTTTGACTGCAGGTATTGTGGTTAATGCAGACATGAATCCTTGTGAAAAGGTTTCAGTTTTGTTGCCAGAAAAAAAAGGGAAAACCCCTTTATTATAATGGCTGTATTGACTCACTGAGCCAGCACACTTCTGCAATCCTGGGTTCGAATCCAGGCAGGCAAGTGTAATTAATTGAGGTTAAGTCGTGGAGTCCAAGTTTCATGGTATCAGCCTGGTCACCTACAACTGCACAAATAATTTACTGTTTTTTTTTAACTTAATTTGGCCTTATACAGTTAAGTGCTAACGTTTCTAATTGTTGGATGACTGACATGTGGTGAACCACTGCTGGGTGAGAGAGGCATAATTGAACTCCCTTCAAAAATAGTTGTTGTTTTTTTAGTCCCCATTCTCTGACATGTGAGGCTCGTCTGAATGACCAGGGGTTTTTAAGGCCATTTATTCAGCTATTGCCATGACTTATGTTACAATTATGGAATAGAGAGAGTAGTGTATAATTGGTATAAAAAATGTGTATGAAATGTCCATCTGGAATAGACAATTTGGTTTTTCACACATAGTTATGCTTACACTTAAAGTAAATACACACTATACAATTTTCCCTGCTCGTTGGCTCGAGTTAGGAAAGATGTTTATAAAAATAAAACTATGTAAGCACTGCATTGGCCACTATTTAACATTTTTCCCATTAGCCAAGGCAGTCCAGAACTCATGACAAATTATTTTAATGCTCCTCCCTAAACCACAGATGCCGATCTCTTGGTAATATCTCCATAAACCTCACTTATTATTTTCTAAAGCTGTAGGCAAAGAATGTGAGGGGCATTGGTTCCAGGCATGGCATTGGTGAGGTGCCATGTACATGCATGTGCATGTGTAGTGGTGGGTCTGCGTACATTGCTGCTCTTGTTAATGTGCATGTTTTATGTATAGAAACGTGCATGTGATGTTTCTATAGAGCAGCAATTATATCTTAAGTGATGATTCTTGGCATCCAGCTTTTAATTTACAAACCAATTTACACAATGTACACCTCTACTCTGGAATTGAACCAAGACTGTTTTTACCACAGTTACTACAGACATTCGAATTTTAATTTAATCTTGATCGTAATGTACAACCTCCAAGCCACAGTTTAAAAAAAAAAATGAACATCTCCCGGCTATAAAAAAAAAAAACGCAGGGCAGCACTAATTTTGTTGCCAGCTGAGAGCCAGTACTGGAAATTTCACATTCCCATTGGCAAGCGTTTTATTAAAAGTGGTACTGAGCTTATATTACTCGAAGGTGTGATGGGTTGTGACAACCCCCATTTGGATTATTATATCCTGATCGTGTATTGTACTCATTGTGATAGATTGGGAGCCAGTTTAACCTTGTCAAAGAGATCAAGTGATCAGATTGTACATTACCACATGATGTCTGATTTGTACAAGGGGGGAGAGAATTGTAAACAAGATTAAATTCAAGTATCTGAGAATTTCTCAATTGAATGCTCAGATCTCCAGGCTTTTAAGCTGTGTTCCCAAATGCCATTCCTCAAGACACCACCATCTGACATCTTTCTGAGTTACCAATATTGCCTTCATTCAAAAACAAATGAAGTCATTAAGATACTGCCTGTGTCAATGTCTTACGTGAAATAGGGAATGCCGATTAATTTAAATTGACACTTTGTCACATGGACTCACACTTAAATCTACACATGCATATCCAAATACAGGATCCTCATGACAAAGTCCAAACTGAATAAGGATTTCCTGGATTAATAATTCACATTATTGTTAGACAGCTCACCGATATCTTTTTGAGTTGTACCATATGTTGTTTGGCACAATATCACAGGATTCACTCCGTTTTTGGAGCTTAAGTCATAAGTTATTTTTTGGGTCCGATAACGTTAAGTAAAATGTGTATCCTAAACCCTCCACCCAACATAGCCAATTCATCTGAACCAAAAAATGTATTTTGAATGATAATATTGTCCGCAAAAGCCGACATGTTAAGTTTTGGGAACTTATTCAGAAACTGAAGTACATGAACCGGAACGTCGAACATCATGCCAAGCAACACAGTAGAACCTGAACACACATCGGAGAGCTATACAATACAACCGCGTAAACCTCCGCTAAATAGTTTTTGGAAAAATGTCATGACATTTATTTTAATCCATGCGCTCTGCACCACGTGTAACGTACTTTGCAAGCATCAGGGCCATGTAGTATCCATTGACCCATAGATTTGTAAGGATGCAAATTTGGTAAACTCGAAAGGGTGTACCGTGGTGTTTCAAGGAACAGCGCTTGGGAAAACCGTGGTTTCAAGTGTGCTTTATTGAGGTGCGTTCATTAAGCCCTGGAGGTTAAGAATTGTTGCTGCAATGTACAAAACCTGCAACTGGAGGCTTGCAAGGTGGTTATGGGCTTCCCCCATGATGGTTAGTGGGGCCAGACGATATATTCCACTTGCCAGTGCCACCTGCAGTGGCAATACTTTAGTGGCATCAGTTTCCTTGCATGGTCAATAAGAGAATGATGCAATAATATTTGTTTAAATGAGTGGGTTATCACGTAATTCACTTGCATTGGACAGATTAATAAATTGGTGCCACTAACGTTGTGCCACCTCATGTGGTACCAATTGCTGCTCTGGCTTGTAGGTTGTGTGATGTTTTGTTGCCACCTTCAGGTTGTGATATTGGAATGATATGTAATACATTTCTTGCTTTCGGGATTGCTCTGCAGAAGTGGTGGTGATGCTTGTTTTTGTTAATGTGGCTTTACTCTCATTGTTGATGATCATATTCTCAACCCACAATCATGAACAATCACAACTGAACTTTCGCACATGCATCCATACTCTTATATTTACACGTTATACCACCTTAATCTTACTCGCACACATGCGCGCACACGCGTGAACATTTACACACGTGCACAATGATCCACTCGTAAACATACCCACTTGCCAAAACACACTCGTACATACCCCTCATACTTGAATACGCATACGTATACACACTCATACATACACACATTCATACACCCATACTCAATACATATGCAGGGTGAACTGGAGAAGCAGCTACTCCAAGCGAACCCCATCCTGGAAGCTTTTGGCAACGCGAAGACTGTCAAGAACGACAACTCCTCGCGATTCGTAAGCAGAGCTGCGCTCCTCCTTCTACATGCAGAGAGATTAAGTGGAGGCTTGGCCTCCAGTGGGTGGCTGCTGGCTGGTTTGGTTCGATCTTCCGGTGCTGCAATTCAAACAATGGAAATATTTCTAAAATCCCCGTGCCTCTGTCCACCTTGTAGTTGAAATGGGTAGGTACACCACAGTTAGTTAATTGGCTGCTTGCATTTGGTGGGGTACGTCAACCTCTTTCTTCAAGGCAGTGTAGAAGAGTAGGCCAACATTCTCTCAAGGGGCTTTTTCTCTAGTGGGAGGCCCTTCTGCCAGCAGTAGCATGAGTAAGAATTCGCAGGGCTGTACCACCTTTGCCTTTCCTACGGTGGGGGTGTGTACTACATGTGTTATAAGCTTAAAGTAACATTGACTTAGGAGGTCAGTGATTGATTTTTCCAGCTCTACACCAGTATCTCTTGAGTACTGGGTCGAAGCCCAGATGTTGGGTGTTGGGATGAAAAATCACTATCTGTGATGCAGGGGTAGAGCTCTGGTATGTGGTATATTTAGAATATCCCCCTCGCGTCAGGTTACTGTGACAGAAGTTATTGATGGCTTGTGTTCAATCCTTGTGACTGGTTCTTTCTTGAGTAGCTCACAACAGCAACGTTGGATCATTGCACCAGCAGGTTTATTAAAGTTCCTGCTGGTCCAGCACCAACCCCAAGGGTCCCTCTTGCCCCAAGCCCCCCAAACGAGCCCCCTTCCTAGGGTCCCTCCTGGCAAAGGCCCAAGTGAGCCCCCTTCTAATTCCTGAGTGGCGACAATCGCAGGCGCTCTGATGCAACCATGAGCCTGTGGCCAAACCATCGCCCTTTCATCCTCCACCCACGAGGTTCTCTTGTTCAGAGAACCAAGGGAGGCGAGGAGCTGTGTGCCCAAAGTGCCATAGCTGGTATTCTCAACATGCAGATAGCTAAGCATCATCGTAATGCCCTAGGTTTATTAAAAGTTCCAGCGTCTATGGCTCAATGGCCATTTCTGGTCTCATTTCTGACCCAGTATTTCCAAGAACTTGGTTATTATAGTCCTGGGTAAACTGCCAAATCGCTGCGCGTGGCGCTAACGTTTTTTATAAATAAATAAATGCGCCGTTTAAAAATCAATTTATGCAAACCAACACACCTGAGGATGACCGTTTGAGTTATGGTCGAAACGTCGTGAGAATTTTTTATTGTTTTATATATTTTATTATTTTGTTGTTTCTCTTCGACGTGACTTTACCGAAAAAACTAAGAATATGAATTACTGCAGTCACGAAAGCTTTAAATCAAAATTTAAATCAAAACTTGGTTATTAGCCACATTTTATAGATTTGGGGTTAAACCAATTTCTCGGTCATAGCGAGTTTAAAGCTGTTCACTTAATCACAAAATATTACATACGCGATAAAGTTATTGTGATGAATTCACTTATCTACATTACTTGAAATGAGACCTAGAAATAGTAGCGAGAGATGTCATTTGCATAGAAGCTTGAAGTAGTTGTATGTGATCTCTTTTGAAGGTCATTCTTCAGGGAGTTCTGAAGCAAGTTTAAAATATATATTTGTTTGGCTCTCTGCCTTGACACTTATAAACTGCCCACTGATGTGTGTTTTTTTTATTACTATTTTCACAGGGGAAGTTCATCCGCATCAACTTTGACGTCGCTGGGTACATCGTGGGCGCAAACATTGAGACCTGTATCCTTTCGACTGCTCGCACATGTATACGAAATTGAGGATCCCGCTTTATTCGGCATTTTACTCATAGGGCTGGCACTGCATGTCTGTGAAAAACCTGGCCCGCTGGTCGTGCGTTTCCTGTTTGTTGATGAGGTTTGTGTTACGAGGCCAGCGAGTCGCCCTGGTGTAAACTGTGGTGAATACTGTGACTTTCAACCAAATACATCATATACTCCACAGTGGGTGTTAAAGATCTCATGACATTATTCGAAAAGGAGTAGGTCACTGGTGCTGAAAATTACCGGCAAATTACCCTGTTGGGTAATGCCACGAAGCAATGTTGCACCTACTGACTACAATTATCTATGAATCGGGACGTGCGTGCTAGTCTTGCACAATGAAAATGGCACAAGTAACAAATGTACCGATGATCTTATTTGATTGTAACTTAGTGCTGGGATTTACGAATCGCACAGATGGAGCCACAGTGATTGGGATGCCCAGCTGAAGGGCTTTGAGGTGTTTGTTACCTGTAGTTGAGTAGAGTCGAGTTTGTGCTCTCATTCGCTTTGCGATCTCCATGGTCTGGCAGTTCCTCTTGGCCAAATGTGTCAAGCAGGATGATTGGAAAAAGCATTTGAAGTTCAGCAAGTGATGCTTTAAAGGCTTGGCAGCCCTGCGTCAGTGATGGAAGTTCAACATTCTTATAACAGGGGCCTGTATTTCTCTTGGGATAACTACTGTTGACACTGGAGGAATGATGAGTCAACAAAACCCCCAAAGGGGATTTGAAATCAACACATTTAGATTGTTTAGTGGAGTACTGTAGCTATGGCACCAGCGGACCAAAAGCATGGTGAAAGATGCTGTGTAAATGAACGGTGATGGTAGTCGTTTCGTTGCCTTGACGACCCCGCGCGCTCAGACCTCCTGGAGAAGTCTCGCGCCATCCGGCAGGCGAAGGATGAGCGAACGTTCCACATCTTCTACCAGCTCCTGTCGGGCGCAGGAGAACACCTCAAGAGTGCGTTTTAGTTTGCCCACACACATGCATGCACGCTCCCTCATTGGCACATGCATACGCGTGCATCAGAACCCATAATAAACCTTGGGTTAGGATTATGTACCCTAAAATAGCAGGAGTGTTGCAATGTGTAAACTAAACAGTACAGAAAACATTTGAAAAGTGTAAAACGCGATGTAGAATACATTTGATAGAATTAGCCAGCAATAATTAAACCGGCTATAAAATGTAGAATTGATCATTCCAGATTGTCACCAATGACTGCACAATAAATTATTGCATTAACCATAAAAATCATGAAACGTTCACCTTATTAATATTTAAAATTGCATTTTATGGGTATATGCATCGGTTTTCTAAAAGCACCTGCATTCATCATTGCCAAATATTGAATCTCATAGTGTAAATGCTTACCCCGAGCTCTCAATACTCTGATAGTGCACCGTTTTTGAGTTGTACGCCTTTTGGCGTCTTCTGGTCCAACACCAGTGGAGACTAGGCTCTAAGAAAAGCCGTCTCGGGTGTGGACCAATCAATTTCAAGGACAGTGCATATTATTATCAGAGTTGTCTCTTTTTGTTTGCATTTTGACTGCTTGTGTTGTGGTTATTGCAAACATGATCCCTTGTATAAAGGTGTCAGTTTTGGTGCCAGATAAAAGGGTAAAAACCTATTACTATATCTTGCTACTGGCAAAGGAGGTCTCATAGTATACCATAACCTGTTTAAATTACTCTTTTGGTCTTTCGGTAAAGTCACGTAGAAAGAACTTAAATAATAATAGAATACGACGTTTTGATTGCAACACAAGCATGTGTGAGTCTCTCTCTGCTTGTGTGTCTGTCTGTGTGTCTCAGTGTTTTGTCTCTCTCTCAAATTTAGCAATCTTTGGAAGAACGTAATCAACCAGGTGGTGTGTTGGCTGTTGTGTTGGCTAACTCTCTGTGTTGTATTGCATTATATTTCCAAGTTTTCTATGTTTTCTCATTCATTGGTACCTGATTATGGTTGCTGTGTTGCAATCGAAACGTCGTTTTCTATTATTATGTTATTAAATTTATTTCTATGTGACTTTACCGAAAGAACCAAAGAGTAATTCCTACAGTCAAGAAAGCTTCAAATCTTGTCTGATTGAATTATAATGGATAGTAAATGTAGGGTAGAGGCAATTTAATTTAATGTATAATGGGAATTATAAATAGAGAAAAAAAACTTGTCACATGTAGAATTGACTTCAGTAACGTGACATAGAAATGGCTTTCCCTGGGGATTAACAACTGAGTCGCCTGGGGTGTTGGAACTTGTCTGCTCAAATGGTGATGCAGACCTTTGAACTCTTGATTGTTGCCATAGCGACGATAGTAATGGCATCTTTCTTGCGTCTCTCCCCGTCTGCCCACACAGCTGACCTGCTCCTCGAGGGCTACAACAACTACCGCTTCCTGTCCAACGGAAACGTCGTCATCCCAGGGCAGCAGGACAAGGACAACTTCCAGGAGACGACCTCCTCCATGAACATCATGGGCTTCACGCACGAGGAGCAAATTTGTACGACGCTCACGCACGCTACTCACACGCACCTGCACATAAACTGCACCTGTGAAGAGACCCCAAAAGTGTTCGTGGTGTTTTCGTGCCAGGATTCCCCCCCCCCCCTTCCCCCATGTGATCTTAGACTGTGCTGACCGAGAAAGATGGGAAGGACGTTTCTTGGCCTCGTGACATGCATGCATCGTGTCCCCCACAGCCTTGCTGCGCGTGGTCTCTTCTGTGCTACATTACGGAAACATCGTTTTCAAGAAGGAGAGGAACACTGACCAGGCTTCGATGCCAGACAACACTGGTAAACACATACATGTACACAAAGACAAAGGTCTTGCCTATAGCCATTACCAGAATTTGGGGAAAGTGCTGTTAGTGAGAACCTGAGGCTCCCATGGTGTTTGATGGGGTGGTGTGGCTAAACACCATGATTGACAGTGTTTGTCTTCCCAGTGCTGATGGTTACAAACTGCTTAAGGTACACTTTTAAGGCTGAGATGATGTAGGGGAGACCTATGACCTGCTTGGATATAATTGCATACCTGTCAACCCCTTATCAGTGCTTCCCTTATTACAGACCAATTCAGACCTTATTGGGCACCCCGTGACCCTTATAAATCTCAACGTTCATCCTACAAAGTACCATCACAAGGGAGAAACACAAATACTCAAAAAATGTTGCCCGTATTGAAAAGGCTGTACACCGTATGGACCTGAGAACTCAATTTCCCTTCACAAGAATATAGGGAACAGTATGGGTTGACAGGTATGCAATTGCTACTTATGAATTGGATGGTTGCTGGGTTCGTAGCACAGTCCACTGACCGCTGTCACCGCTGATAATCCGCACATGCCGAGGTACAGGAACTATTCCACGATCTCTACGTCCAGCCTATTGTTTTTGAAGAGTTGAAGGGATTTAGTGTTGATCGGCAGGTGTTTTATATCCACCATGAAAGTTAAGGCCCAGGTTCATCAGCATGTTCTCCGAACTACTTTTCAGCATGAGCAGAAAATCCATGTTCATCAGTATACCATGTAGTTCGAGAAGCCCTTTTTGGCTATACCATGCTACAGATACAATGGCAGGCTGCTACAATGAGAACCTGATCAGTGGGCCAATGACTTCTAGGGATGGCTCCCTACTGATCAACCATGTTATGTGTACTGTTCCACATATACTTGTACACACACAAGCACATATACTGTATGTGTACATGCTTGTGCACACATGCAGATGGTGGAGCTATGATATTGACCTCCAGATAACACGAATGTCCGTTGGTTGTCGCATTGGCAGGTTTGACTTGGCTTTAGTGAAAGGTATTGTATTATTTTCCTGTGATGTGTACCACGTTGTAAATCTATGTTTCCATGACCAGTTCTCAGTAGCCTGTGGTTGCGCTGTCACCGAACTGAGACAAAACCAGGCTGGATGGCGTCCCCACATTGTGCTGTATTAGTTCCTGCCTTTCGGTAGCCCCTACCTAATATGTAGGTACTACTCCCAATCTACACCCCCTGAGGCCTAGTGATCAACCCAGGAAATTTTGATCTTCGCTGGGCAGAAATCGATGCGAAGTCAGGATTGTTAGTAATAGGAAGTATCTAAAAGTGATTTCATAAGACTGTTTTAAATAAGGTTTTGTCCAATTGTATCTTAAATGCGATTTAAAAGGGCAAACAAAACAAGAAATGGTTCTTAAAGATCTGCACCTTGGATTTGTGTCCTGGGATGAAGTACAGTAATTTGTGAGTGATGTTTCAACCTTGCACATTTCATAACAATAACAAAACAATCTGGATTATTAAGCATGTAAATGCAACCACATTTAATACGCTTTACAAATAGGGACAATTTTCCCATATTGAGAGTTTGAAGATGGATTATTAATGAGAGCAGGGAATAAGAGGCAGACTAGAAACGACATAATAGAAAAGCATATGTAGGACACTGCATGAAGTGAGACAGCAGAGGAAAGTATTCAGCCTGAACTTGAACAGTGGCAATGTATGAGCAGTGCAGACGGCAAGAGGAAGGGAATTTCAAAGAGCAATAACAAGCAGCAGTGGCTATGTTTACATGTTTGGTATAATTTAGTTAAAATAGGGCAGTGTTCATTAATGCGATGTTGAGGGACGTTATTTTAAGTCCCCACTTGAAATGTATTTGTTTAGTTAATTTCTAACTTGACTAGTATTACTTAGAAACGAACTTGGTGTCGTGATGGAGTGAGGTGGTGACAGTCCCGACTGTTGATGCCTAGAGCTTTACGCCATTAAAGAAGAGCGCTTGACAGGTCCAAGGACAATCGTTAGATGTCAACATTCACTTCTTTAACTGCTATGGGAACACAGGGCCCAGGTTCAACTGCAGTCTGGCCACAGATCCTTCTCACTTGAAACTGGTCATGGAAATGAGGCACAATTCACTGGCATGGCTCACTTGAGCACAGATTAACGCAGATTTTACAATGCCGAAACGCTCTCGGGCTCAGCTCGCGTAGCTCGCACCATGTGACGGAGTGTTCACTTTGCCGATAGGATGTTCACGATCGTGTATATAAGATAAGGATATTCGCGCTACTCCCACAGACAGAATTCCGGATCGTAAAGGTGATGTCAGATCGTTTATATGAATATATTTGCTTACATGAATTCAATCTTGACTAGTTAAGGATAGGATATTCACGTTTTTAAGTCTAACATCATTTTTATTATAACATTTGGCAAGATAATTCACTTCTAAAAATGCTCACTCGTATGCACCTGTTAGGTTTTGAACATTCACCCGTATGTGTGACTCACGCCATTGATAAATATATGCAAAAGCTGACTTGCATATATTGGACATGCACTTCTAAAACCCTCCTTAAAATGTGTAAACTTACTGAATTGTGGATCGTTGCTGTTATGAGTCATGGTGGTGCGGGAGTCACTGAGCCAGCCACCGCTGAGTTCAACTCTTAAGCAGCCAGCCTTCATTAAATTGGGTTTCTGTAATTTAGTCAACTTAATGCTCATGGCCCCAAGATACTCTTGAGAATGTAACATTAAAATACTATGCCTCTTTATATTGAGGTCTTTAATTGAATGATGATCAAATGGCTAAACGTCCCTTGACATTGTGTTTGATTAAGAGATCCATTCGGAAGACAACGGAGGTAATCTCTGTCATAGTCATCCTCTGGGAGTGTTCCCTTGTAAAGATGTGCCAGTAGGGGGGGGGGGGGGGGGGGGGGGGGGAGTCCAGATGGCACCATCATTTGTTAGCTATAAAGCCATAATACAAGTTAACCTGATTTAAAGAGCATAGGACGTTGCTCGTATTCCTTAGCAGCTATAAGATACCAGTGCATATCCATACGGCTATGGTGGGTCAATTTCCAAGTGACAACCACTGCTGATTTCGTGCAAAGTGGGTATCCATGTGATCAAACTCTGTAGCGATGATGTGCTGGGTCGACCCCGACCGAGATATGAGTAAGGAATTTTCTGACTGAGAGCCAAGCACACGATAATCATAGCAGCACCTTTGTAAAAGTTGGTGATATAAATGACCACAAAAAAATATAAAAACATAAGGTTTGTTGAATTTAAAATAAAAACGAGCCATGTGTTGATGTACATGTTTCTCTCTGGCTGGATCTCCCCCACTTTCTGTCTGCTCTTGCCCTCTCAATCTCCTTTTCTCCTCACCGCCCTCCCTCATCACCACCACCAGCTGCCCAGAAGCTGTGTCACCTGCTGGGAATCGCCGTGACGGATTTCACGCGTGCAATCCTCACTCCACGCATCAAGGTCGGCCGCGACTATGTGCAGAAGGCCCAGACCAAGGAACAGGTAAGGGAACATGCCTCTCCCATAATGCACTCGGAGATGCTCCCATAATACATTGCTTTCCCTCGCATCTATTAATTTCACTGTATAAAATACAATGTTTATTTGTCCGCTCTCCCCCTTTGTCTCCCTCTGTCTCCATCTGATTCCGTCTCTTTCCCTTCTCCCCATTGCTTTCTTTCTTCTCCGACCCCCCTGTCTTTATATAATTCTCCCCCACTCACCGTCTCATTCCACCCTCATCTTCCACTCCTCTCTCATTCTCTCCCCATCTCTGCACCTCTCCCTCGTCCGTGTCGCCCAGGCGGACTTTGCTATCGAGGCGTTGGCCAAGGCCACGTATGAGCGTCTCTTCCGCTGGCTCGTGCAGCGCCTCAACAAGGCTCTTGACCGCACCAAGCGTCAGGGCGCCTCCTTCATCGGCATCCTCGACATTGCCGGCTTCGAGATCTTCGAGGTAGCCCCACCCCCACCCGTCGTGGGGCTCGCACGGAACAAGCGGTGTCTGTATGCGGCTCGCTGTGTGCTTGTCGGGCTGCCAGTGTTTGCCTTGGGTTATTAAAAAAATATATGATGGGTTAACACTGTGTGTAGAGCTGGCAATGTTTGCACGAAGCTATCAGTATTTGTGTAGTCTAATGGATTCCGTTATTGGGTTAGCATTGATAATATATCAGTGTCTAATGGACTGGCAGTGTCTGTTTTGAGCCCGTGATGTACCTGGTAGTCGTGCATGCTAAGCTAGTATAAAAGCTGAAAAGTTCTCAAAGACTCTTGGAGCGGTGCACGCTTGGAATTCCACTTGGAGACAGAAAGAAGAACACATAGAATAGAGAACATATCCAGGTTAAAGACATCATAGTGACTGATAAGGGAAAGTAAGTATATTTAGGCAGGATACTGATAGAAGGCACAGTGGCCGATGTACCAGAGAGAGAGATCAATGTACCAGTAGCAGCTCAAGGAGGGAACGTGCCGAACAGTATAACCATCACGGAGCTATAACGATGAAATCGTCTCGTGTGCAGGAGTGAGGCGGATTGTTTCGTCGTGCGATTTTGAGGGATGGCGACCAAGTTGGACAAGGCCTTCATGCAGCAGTCGATAGGCTGTCGCCGCCGCTGATGATGATCATTGCTCATTTAATAGTTGCAGTGGTTTTTATGCCAGACTGAGTAACGTGTTTTATTTTTGTTCTTTCGAAATTCCCCCATCGCAGCTGAACTCCTTTGAGCAGCTGTGCATCAATTACACCAACGAAAAGCTGCAGCAGCTGTTCAACCACACCATGTTCATCCTGGAGCAGGAGGAGTACCAGCGTGAGGGCATTGAGTGGAACTTCATCGACTTTGGGCTCGACCTGCAGCCATGCATCGAGCTCATCGAGAAGCCGGTATGTGCATATGCAAGCTGAAGATCCCCGTGTATGAAATGACATCCCCGAGGGGGGGGAGGGTGGGGGTGGAGAGAGTAGGTTCCCCACCCCTGCTGTAAAGTGTCCACGTACGCCGTATTGACGATGCCTGCTGTTGCGTGCGCTTCAACCCAGGCCGGGCCGCCGGGCATCCTGGCGCTGCTGGACGAGGAGTGCTGGTTCCCCAAGGCCACGGACAAGTCGTTCTGTGAGAAGCTGGTACAGGAGCAGGGCACGCACCCCAAGTTCCAGAAGCCGAAGCAGCTCAAGGACAAGGCAGACTTCTCTGTCATCCACTACGCCGGCAAGGTGACGTGACGTGCCGGTTTTGAGGATAAGTGGAAAAATGAGTGAAAGACAAGCTGGTGTGAGATAGTATTTCTATCCCTGTAGAATTCACACCTCGGATGCAGATGACTATTATATTATAAAACCTCCACCATCCCGCTTTCAGTGTTAGTACTTATTATTTTTCAGGAGGGTATTATGTACAGGGCTACATTGGGGGCACAGGGCAGTGCACCAAAATGCATTTTTGCACTGTACGATGCTCGTAACGTCTATGCTACCTGCCTTCACAAACCCGAACTACCTTCACAAACCCGAACTGCCTTCACAAGCCCGAACTGCCTTCACAAACCCGAACTACCTTCACAAACCAGAACTGCCTTCACAAACCAGAACTGCCTTCACAAACCCGAACTGCCTTCACAAACCCGAACTGCCTTCACAAACCAGAACTGCCTTCACAAACCAGAACTGCCTTCACAAACCCGAACTGCCTTCACAAGCCCGAACTGCCTTCACAATCCCGAACTGCCTTCACAAACCAGAACTGTCTTCACAAACCCGAACTGCCTTCACAAACCAGAACTGCCTTCACAAACCCGAACTGCCTTCACAAACCCGAACTGCCTTCACAAACCAGAACTGCCTTCACAAACCCGAACTGCCTTCACAAACCCGAACTGCCTTCACAAACCAGAACTGCCTTCACAAACCAGAACTGCCTTCACAAACCCGAACTGCCTTCACAAACCAGAACTGCCTTCACAAACCAGAACTGCCTTCACAAACCCGAACTGCCTTCACAAGCCCGAACTGCCTTCACAATCCCGAACTGCCTTCACAAACCAGAACTGTCTTCACAAACCCGAACTACCTTCACAAACCCGAACTGCCTTCACAAACCAGAACTGCCTTCACAAACCAGAACTGCCTTCACAAACCAGAACTGCCTTCACAAACCAGAACTGCCTTCACAAACCCGAACTGCCTTCACAAACCCGAACTGCCTTCACAAACCCGAACTGCCTTCACAAACCAGAACTGCCTTCACAAACCCGAACTGCCTTCACAAACCCGAACTGCCTTCACAAACCAGAACTGCATTCACAAACCAGAACTGCCTTCACAAACCCGAACTGCCTTCACAAACCCGAACTGCCTTCACAAACCAGAACTGCCTTCACAAACCAGAACTGCCTTCACAAACCAGAACTGCCTTCACAAACCCGAACTGCCTTCACAAACCAGAACTGCCTTCACAAACCAGAACTGCCTTCACAAACCAGAACTGCATTCACAAACCAGAACTGCATTCACAAACCAGAACTGCCTTCACAAACCCGAACTGCCTTCACAAACCAGAACTGCCTTCACAAACCAGAACTGCCTTCACAAACCAGAACTGCCTTCACAAACCCGAACTGCCTTCACAAACCAGAACTGCCTTCACAAACCAGAACTGCCTTCACAAACCAGAACTGCCTTCACAAACCCGAACTGCCTTCACAAACTCGAACTGCCTACACAAACCAGAACTGCCTTCACAAACCAGAACTGCCTTCACAAACGAGAACTGCCTTCACAAACTCCAACTGCCTTCACAAACCAGAACTGCCTTCACAAACCAGAACTGCCTTCACAAACCCGAACTGCCTTGACAAACCCCAACTGCCTTCACAAACCCGAACTGCATGGACGAGGCTTTCATCCAGCAGTGGATTGACAAAAAGGGCTATACGTGACATCGCCGTGAGTAAAACACCGGGTCTGACAAGTCTGTTGGCCGGTGCCACGTGTCCCCTGGCAGGTGGATTACAAGGCCGACGAGTGGCTGATGAAAAACATGGACCCCCTCAACGACAACGTGGCCACGCTTCTGCATCAGTCGTCCGACAAGTTCGTGGCTGAGCTCTGGAAAGATGGTGAGAGAACGGAGAGGGTGGAATGATTTTGGAGGATGGTGATGATGGCATAGAGAAGCAAATGGGAGAGGAAGATGGAGAAATGGGCTGATAGGAAGGGACGGGGAAGGGTGAGAGAAAGAGGAGTGAATTGGCCAATGAGGAATATGGCCACGTTGCATTAGAGGCCTATGAGTATGTGTTAATCGAGTGGGAATTAATAATTACTTTGTATTGCTGCTTAATAATATGATGGAACGATCTCCACATAAGCATCGGAAGTGCTGATAGAAGATAATTGTGAACTGTTATTTAAAAGCCCATCTCTTCAGTGCATCTGTAATACAGTACAAATACATGAGGCAATCTAGGTATTTGGTGTTATTACTTGTCTTTTGTAATTGGCCTGACTTGTCATGAATGCTTGTATTAGTTTTAAATCATATTCCCTGGAATATTTTAGATCTCCTTATTAAATAAAATATATAACAACAAGGGTGCAACAGGATACATTGGTTTGTTATTTTTAACTAACTGTGCTGTAAATTTTGATTTAAAGCTTTCGTGACTGCAGGGATTCATATTCTTGGTTCTTTCGGTAAAGTCACATAGAAGGGAAACAATAAAATAATCAATCAATTAAGACCCGAAATGGTTGATCAAATCCTTCCAATGATTGCTAAGCCAGATGGATTCTTGCTAAGCCAGATGGATTCTGGCTTAGCAATCATTGGAAGGATTGTTCACGCTTACGGTGGCTTTCAGACCGCATCAATTATTTTCGTCTCCCCCCTCCTCTTTTCCGAACATAGATGGACTCATCCATCTGATTAACTGCCAAATCGCTCTCCGTGGTGCTAACGTTTAAAAACCGCCACTTTTTTCAAATTTTCTTGCTGTGGTTTTCACACCTGATGGCGATTGCTTGTGTTGCAGTCGAAACGTCGTAAGAATTTTATTGTTTGTTTCCCTTCTACGTGACTTTTACCGAAAGAACCAAGAATATAACTTGCTGTGTTTTGTATAGAATATAGGTTGGGCGTTCATGTAAAAATTCTTGACGTGTGCAATATAAACGAGATTAATTGATCGACAGCAATACTGGATTTTCACACTCTTTGTTCATTGCCCGTGTTGTGAGCGCAAGAATAGATTTTTAAGCGACGAATCTGCACGGGAACGGGTCGTTACACGCCAAGCTAACGCCGTGCGCGTGTGCCCCACCTCCACCCCCGCGTGTACAGTCGACCGCATCGTGGGTCTGGACACGGTGTCGGGGATGACGGACACGGCCTTTGGCTCCACCTACAAGACGCGCAAGGGCATGTTCCGCACCGTGGGGCAGCTCTACAAAGAGCAGCTGACCAAGCTCATGGCCACGCTGCGCAACACCAACCCCAACTTCGTGCGCTGCATCATCCCCAACCACGAGAAGAAGGTGCGTGCGTGCGTGCGTGCGCGCTTGTGGTCTTGTGCGCATGCCGATGAATGTTCCCTTGCTCGTTTTGTCAAGTTCTGAAGCTGGCCCATTGATTCTAAAAAAAACACATACGGGCGTGCCTGGAATATGGAAAGTACGGGACTCGGACGATAATCTTTTAATTTTGACGTGTTCGAACTTATTTGATTCATGTTTAACATTTCTTGTTTAACGTGCGTGCATGCGTATTCATGTGTGGTTAATGATCTGGCCACGTTTCTGCATTAAGACTTTACATCACCTGACGTAGCAACAAAAATGTAATTGTTGAGTATACAATAATTGAATGCACCAATTATTGTTTCAGTTCACCGTTAAGTTGAACAATTTTTACAAACAACTATTAGCAATTTGTTACCCACAATTTTGGCCAGATCACTACATGGCCTCACTTAAAAAAATATATGATATCATTGCCTGTGAAAACCTACGTGGTGTTTGTATGATTAACGTGTAAGATTCGCATTGTACGTGTGTAAATGTGTGCATGATTTCAAATTGCATGTTATATTCATGTTGTACTTGTGTGGTTTTTTTTTTGCTTGCACAGGCCGGCAAACTTGAGCCGCACCTGGTGCTTGATCAGCTTCGCTGTAACGGAGTCCTTGAGGGCATCCGTATCTGCAGACAGGGCTTCCCCAATCGCATCATCTTCCAGGAGTTCAGGCAGAGGTACGAGGGTGTACACTAAGACAAAGATCCCCCATACACACCGCACCAGGTACTCGTAGGGGAGGCCCAGGTCCCGTTCAGATAATCAAACTCGGGTCACCAGATTTATTGCACAGCACACTAACAACCACTACACTGCGGGGGTGTACTAAAAGATAGACAAAGTTCCCCCTTATAGCCTCAACAGACTGTTGAGGCAAGTGCTGTTAGCAAGCACCTATAAAGGTCGCCATGGCATATGAGGAGGTGGGTGGCCAGCACCACGCCCTTGCCGCCTTTGTCTCTCCCAGCGATATTTGCACATTGCACTGGGTACTCATTTGAGGCTGAGTCGGCCTAGGGGAGGCCCAGGGCCGATTCGGATAATCCTCATTTGGTATTAGCCCTGAGCGGGAATCGAACTCGGGTCACCAGGTTAGTCGCGCAACACACTAACTTGCACACTATGGGGGTGTACATACACACACATACGAAATGTTCACCTTTAAATGCAAGCACACACACATACACTTACATGTGCACACGCGCATATACACACAAATGCTTGCATTTATAAACTCGCAAGCATTGACAACACATTCTTATTCGTGCAAACAAACATATAAAAATTTATTCATCTACTCGCATGCAAACGCATGTACGCTTCCATACGCACCTGCACAGACACTCAACATGCTAGGGAGTTGCAACCTCACAACCATCTCCTACATTTGGTCCACTCCTATTTGGCTAACGGTGAGGCTAAATAGGGAATAGCAGCCACACTCAAAACGTTTCTGGCATGATTCACATGCTTACCGGACATTCACACCCCTGCGCACTCGGACTAAATTTTCTTCTATGTGTACTCCCTCGTGTGCAGATACGAGATCCTGACTCCCAACGCGATCCCCAAGGGATTCATGGACGGGAAACAGGCCTGTGAGCGCATGGTGCGTATCGCTATCCACACACGTCCCCCTCCTCGCGTAGCGTAAAACCAGTAACACTTCCTGCGCTTCTCCACAGCAGCTCCGTGAGGTCCCTCCCCGTGTGCCCCTCAACGCCTCTCGTGCCGCTCTCCCCTCCGTGCAGATCAAGGGGCTGGAGCTGGACCCGAACCTGTACCGCATTGGGCAGAGCAAAATCTTCTTCCGCGCGGGAGTGCTCGCCCATCTGGAGGAGGAACGCGACCTCAAGATCACTGACATCATCATCGCCTTTCAGGCAACGTGCCGCGGATACCTGGCCCGCAGGTGACACTCCTGACCCCCTACCTACCTGTCCCTCCCAGACCTTCACCTCTCACCTCTGAACCCTGACCCCTGACGTCCACATTGCATTTTGTCTGAACCTGCTCATGCTTTTGGAGATGGCTCTGAGCCCAGTTGTGGAAATTCCATGTTCCAATGACAGTGCCAGTCTGTGACTGCTGCCGTTAGAGCCCACAAGGTGCTGTAAATTTGTTAATCCCAGTTGAATGATGAACTGCGTTAACCCCCGACCAAGATTTGAACTCTTGCGTTTGTAAACGGTGCCAAATAGCAGGGTATTGGCCAGTTTATGAAACAAATACCATGTTTGTGGGTGGTGTTCACTGAATAGATTTTAATGCAATGCGAGCACATTGTGTTCAATTCCTGACCTTGCACATTATCAGTGAAGACTGGTATCTGAACTTGGTTCTTAGCCTCCCCTAGGTAAACTCAGCAGTGTGCGAACATCAACACTTGGAAGACAAGAGTGGGCCATATGCACGTGGTGCTGGCCCACACTGCCCTGCCCCCTTGTGTGCCATGTTTACGTTGATAGCGCTCGCTAACAGCGCCTGCCGCTGGGGTTTGCAATACTATTCGGGGGATCGTGTTTGTGTGTGCTGCAGGGCGTTCGGGAAGAGGCAGCAGCAGCTGAGTGCACTGCGCGTCATCCAACGCAACTGCTCCGCGTATCTCAAGCTGCGTAACTGGCAGTGGTGGCGCCTCTTCACCAAGGTACCCACTGGGGGTTCCGCGATTCATTCGTCAGACTCATTGACTCGCACGTTCGCGGATGCATCCATCTTGAGCGTGATAATAGATTCGTGTGCGTTTGTTGTGAAATCGAGTTTCAAACCATTCTAGACTCTGGAATTTACCACAATGGTACATACATCTGAAATGTGATCGCCGAATCGTGAAGATTTGTCATCATGGAACACGATAAATTGTTACACCATTAATTTGCACTCTTAGAGTTTCTGAGGTTTCTAAAGTGAACGTAACAATATTTAGTTAATAATTAAGTGCAATGGCCACAATCGTACAAAGACAGAGATGAGATTCAGCTCTGAATAAAAAGAAGTCGCAACTCAGTCATTTCTGGCAATTCCCGCCTGAACCAAGCGACCTGAGATTGATTCTCAGCCACGGCAAACACATCGTTGGTGAGTCACATCTAGACTGGTCCTGGTCCCCACCTTCACCAGTGTGGTGAAGTATGATCAAACAACCTCCATGACCGACATGGTGTGGGGAATACCACATTTTCTAAATTTATTCTTATTATAATTGGCTCGTGATGCTTCGTCATTGACTGTCCGCATCTATCTCCCACCCCCTGATCGTGCTCTGCATTTCTTGTTGCTCCCGCATCGCACATCCCACGTTTCCCCCTCCCCCACGCGCAGGTGAAGCCACTGCTGCAGGTCAGCCGCCAGGATGAGGTGCTGCTGGCGAAGGCCGAGGAGCTGCAGAAGGTGAAGGAGCGGCAAGTGCAGGCGGAGACGGACCTCGTGGAGCTGGAGCATAAACACAATCAGGTGACCACCGCCGCTCATTGGCATACGCACCGGGAGTGGGGAACCTACAGCCCGCGGGGCCGGACATGCACAGTACCACGTGCACTTACAAAGGCGAAGGGCAAATGTCCAGCAAACCAAACATCGCTTTGACCCCATGTGATTGCGACCCCTTGACCCCGGCCACTGCCACAGGCGATAAAAGAGAAGCAGATGATGGCAGAGCAACTGCAGGCGGAGATCGAGCTGTGCGCCGAGGCCGAGGAGATGCGCTCACGTCTCGAGGCCAAGAAGCAGGAGCTGGAGGATATCCTCCACGACCTGGAGGCGCGCGTGGAGGAGGAGGAAGAGCGCGCACAGGCGCTCAACCAGGAAAAGAAGAAGATGCAGCAGCACGTGCAGGTGGGAGTGCGTGCGAGGGCTCACGCTGGTGCATCGCGTCGTTGGTCGTGTATGGTGGTGGCGATGGTGGAAAATGATGACCAGGTTTGGGGGGGGTGGGGGGGGGTGTTCATATTTAATGGTAGCTTAGGTGGGTGTAACGATGGTTGTGAATAGATGGTGGTGATGTAATGGTGAGAGTGATGATTGCTGATGTGAGAAGCATGTTAGTCAGATTTGGTCATCTTCTTTGGTTCTTTCGGTAAAGTCGTGACTTTACCAAAAGAACCAAAGGAGATGAATCCTTGCAGTCACGAAAGCTTTAAATCCAGATTTGGTCAATTATAATGAAAATAACAGTTGCATTGCTATCTTGGGAAATTGCCAAGTGGTAAGAGATCGGGTCACAATCGGAAGGTTGTGGGTTCAAATCCTGTTTGGGGGTTGAACCCAGTCCATCATCCCTCCCTGGAGTTGATTACATGAGTGCCACTTTGTGGGAAAGTCAACAGTGGTTGTCCTATGGAAAAGACTACTCCCCCCTCCATAGGAATGTGGAATTCCCACCACTGGCTCAGGGCTGTAAACAGGAGATGATGACCGTCTCAATGCTCATTTGAGCAGAAAGTCACTTGGAGCATTGTTAGCTGAAATTACAATTAAATTGTCATTGCAATTCATAATAAATTACCCAGTTGTAAATTACCCCCAGGTCTATTGATGTTGATTTACTTACTCTTTGGTTCTTTCGGTAAAGTCACGTAGATGAAAAATATAAATAATAATAATGAAAATAATAAAATGAAAATCACTAAATTAAATCACGACGTTTCGGGCACAACACAAGTGTCCTGCTGATGCAGACTGTTTTAAAAGGTTTGAAATGGGTGTAGCCCAAGGGTCATAAAGAAGTGGCTGGGTCGAGTGATGTTAATGTGAGAAATTAGCATGTAACTGGGTACGGAAGTGGCTATGTTAATGTGAAAAACTTCAAATCTAGAGTTGATTTACTTTTTGATAATCTCTTACTATGGTGGTCATATTGATGGTGGCATGAATTTTATTTCATTTTTTATTGTTTGGTCATTAATGGTGATGTTCGTATAGATTTTAATTTTGGTTATGGTGGTGATCTTAATTGTGTTCATGATGATAAACAGATTGTACTGACATGAACAGTAAGGTGATGATGATGTTGCTGTTGGTAGTAATACATTGCGGTTTTGATGAAAACTGAGGTGCTGATGGCAGTGTTTAGTGATGGTGGTGATGAATAAAGGCTGATTATGATGGTGCTTTATGTATGTATGTTGAACTTATTTCTCACCATACATAGCCAACCGTGCTTATCAGAGGTGCGGGATAATGTCGTTCTTTCAGGACCTGGAGGACCAACTCGAGGAGGAGGAAACTGCTCGCCAGAAGCTGCAGCTCGAGAAGGTTCAGACTGAGTCGAAGCTGAAGAAGATGGAGGAGGACCTGATCATCCTTGAGGACCAAAATTCAAAGTTCATTAAGGTTTGCACGCTCTCAGTAGTCTAAATGTCACATTGATATTTGATGTGGCCAGGTGGCATAATGTATATAATTCCAAAAGCGCATGGCAGTGCACAGAACCAGCATTCAAACACCAGAATCCCATTTGCTCCTCCAAGATACGTCCACTTCTCAGTTTCGCTGGGAGTGGTTGGACACTGGTGTGATCAGTGCTTTGGAACAAGGCTCGGTGAATCACATGGAGATTTGTGTTAAACTCCCAAACCCACTTGAAGTCAAGGTGATCAGGAATTGGCCACCTTATGCGTGATGTGTTTTTTCAGCTAATCTAGTTTTTACCCACTTAAAAAAAACATTACTTCCAAAGGAATTGTCCAAATAGTCCCAATATAGGACCCTCATGTCACAAGTCTCGACTCGGTGAGACTTTCCTGGAAATATAAATGACTCAATTGTTATCGATGTCCGTGGAATACGCAGGAGAAGAAGCTGATTGAGGAGCGGGTGTCTGAGTTGGCGACCAACCTTTCCAAGGAGGAGGAGAACAACAAGAACTTGCTCAAGGTGAAGAACAAGCAAGAGAGCATCATCGCTGACCTCGAGGGTGAGCATTGATGCGTATACCCCTTCTCCACTGGCACATCAAGGCCAAGCCAGCGCAGTGTCCCTCACGGTCCAGATGGTTCTCCATTGGCTATTGCTGGGATCAAACCGTGCCACTTTGGCGCTCGGGGCAAAGCAGGGCCAGGCACAGGGTTTAATAGTGTTCATTATGTGTGATATTAGTACATTGTGAGGACAACCTTATCACCGCGTTATCTACATGCGTCTTCACGGTTTGTGACATTGTGCTGCCGATATCCACAAATCGGGTTCTGCAGTGGAAAATAAGCACCGAGGCCTTTATGAGCCACGGTGGGCTGGCTTGGGATGGCCCTGGTGTGGCTCAATTGTACAGTGGAAAAGAGAATATGGATGGTGAGGATCTGGTATTAGGAATATATATCAGTTGGTAGAATAGCAGGACTGCTGGTCGTTGAGTTCAAATCCCTGCTAGAGGTGAGTTGGACCTGTAATCATTGTAATCAACATTGTTATTATATTCTTGGGTCTTTCGGTAAAGTCACGTCGATGGGTTCTACGTGACTTTACCGAAAGACCCAAGAATATGAATTACTGCAGTCACGAAAGCTTTAGGTCAAGATTGTTATCATTGTTGTCACCGTGATTATTGTTGTCATTGCCGTAATAATCTTTTTTCATCCGTTGTGAAGCAGATGGCGTTTATATTTTGCTTAACACCACTGACAGTTTAAACCATGGCGGCAAATGCTCTAACGCTCAGCCATGACGATGCCGAGTTAATCGTGATGATCCATCGCCCCCTGCTGGCTTTCTCGTGGTACAGATCGGCTGAAGCGTGAGGAGAAGTCTCGCCAGGAGCTGGACAAGGTAAAGCGCAAGCTGGATGGAGAGAGCAACGACCTCTCCGATCAGATTGCGGAGCTACAGCAGCAGATCATCGAACTCAAAGCCCTGCTCGCCAAGAAGGAAGAGGAGCTGCAGGCCGCCCTTGCCAGGTGAACGATTACATTGACAGTGCTTGTTGTGGTGACGGGTTCGCTGCTGCTAGTGGTAGGCCCTGGTAGTGGTGGCAGTCGTGACAGTCAGTGGTGGTGATATTAATAGTAATATCATCAGTCTCGTTGATGATCCTATTTACGAAAAAAAAAGGTACCATTGATCCCATATTATCAGTGAATAAGTCCCTTTGCTTGATACCAGCTGAGAGCCAAAGATGGACCTAACCCTGGGTCGAAGGATTTTAAAGAAAGCCTGGGTGAAGGAATCGAGTCATGTTCATGCAAAACAGTAACAGTGGTATTCTTAGTTTTTTCGGTAAAGTCACGTTGAAGGGAAACAACAAAATAATAAAATATATAACAATAAAAAATTCTCACGACGTTTCGACCATAACACAAACGGTCGTCTTCAGGTGTGTTGGTTTGCATACATTTATTTTTAAACGGTGTATTTATTTATTTAAAAAACGTTAGCGCCACGCGCAGCGATTTGGCAGTTTATTTAGGACTAGTCCATCTATATTCTGAAAAGAGGAGGGGGGAGACGAAATTTGTTTTTTGTATGCTGTCTGAAAGCCACTGTAAGCGTGAACAACCAATTAAGACCTGAAATGGTTTATCAAATCCTGCGTCCTTTCACTGGAAAGGAGACGCCTTAACCGCCAGTCAACATTGACTATGGTGACCCAGTGAGTGCTGGATCTTCACTAAACCTGACCACTTCACATTAAATTCAATCAAGTAAAGTGATATTGGAACTGGATGTTGCATCTTAGATATGACAGCAGTTTTCTAACTTTGGTAAAATGTGTAATATTTGAGGTAGTAATCATTGTTCAGAGTTAAAGAAGGCTTTGGCATGGAGAAGATAGCCAAGCTATTTAGTTGCCACATGAGAAACTTTTATTTCATTTCAGTGCGCAATGAAGTTGTGTTCTTCATTACACGTTCACGAACGCTTCTCTGATTCCGCTGCCTTCATTTGCGTCCCCATGCAATCCGTGCATCGGCTCACTCCAGGGTGGAGGAGGAGAGCGGCCAGAAAAACCTGGCGCTCAAGCAGCTGCGGGAGCTGCAGGCCCAGCTGGCCGAGCTTCAGGAGGACCTGGACGCCGAGAAGGCCGCTCGCTCCAAGGCCGAGAAGCAGAAGCGCGACCTCGGCGAGGAGCTCGAGGCCCTCAAGACAGAGCTGGAGGACACCCTGGACACCACTGCCGCACAGCAGGAGCTCAAGTGAGAAAGGGCCATTGTGTTCTGTATGCGCTGGTGGCGGGGGTGCCGGCGGTGTGAAGTGGCTGGTAGTGGTGGTGTGAATGGTGGTGGTGCCGGTATTATTGGAGGTAATGTGAATGGAGGGTGATGGTGGTTATGTTTTAATGTTAATTATTGTGATGATAATGACATTGGTGATAATATCAAGTGATGATATAATGGTGCTGAATGCGATATTAATTGCAATGTTGATCGTTATAATGATGGCACTGACATCACGGTGCAATGCCATTCGTCATTATGCATCAATGCAGTAAAGTAGGGCCCTGTATATATTGAGGATTTTTTTTTCTAATTAACAAAGCAACATATCTTGGACAGTTGGGAAACGACAGCCTATGTATGTATCAACATATGAAATGTTCTTTGGGTTACGGTCTCTTTTTTATGACCGTTTGGTGCGCTTTGCCGAACATCAGCACTGGAGGGGCAAGAGTGGAGTGGTGTTGGCCACACCATGCTCTGGATGCAGCGCCATCCTTAAAAAGTGCTCGCGGATCACACTTGTCCTTGTAGTGTACAATGCTAAATCGATTATTTTTCTCATTGCTCCACGTGCAGATCCAAGCGTGAGCAGGAGGTGACTGAGCTGAAGAAAGCGATTGATGAGGAGACACGGAACCATGAGTCTCAGATCCAGGACATGCGGCAACGGCACAACCAGGCCCTGGAGGAACTGTCCGAACAGCTTGAGCAAGCCAAGAGGGTCAGCACATACAAATGCACGCACACACACATAAATAGACACGCCTATACACGTGAACACACAACTACATGAACGCATGCACATGTACAGTGGTACCTCGGAGATCGAACTTAATTTGTTCCAAAACCGTGTTCGAATACCGACTTGTTCGAACACCGAATCAATTTTCCCCATAAGAATGAATATAAATAGCTTTAATTGGTTCCCCACCCAAGGATGCTGCTATTATGGGTCATTTTTACACAAAGTTTACAATATTAAAATACAGTACATAAAAGCATACAAAAAACAAGAAAAAGTTACAATTAATAGAATAAATGAACATTGAACTTCACTTTACCTGTAGTAAGGAAAGTGGATGGCTTGAGTGAAAGGTGGTGAGGAGGGGAGGAGGGAGGTGTCAGTGTTGCTTGGAAGGGGAGTCCCCCTCCATAAAAAGTTTTATCGTGGTTCTCAAAACCTTCCTTTTTGGCTTATCACTGCTACTAACCTTTTTGGGAGCCATTGTGTATGGATAAACACAAAAAACACTACAATAAATTAAATTAACGAAAAAGTTAACGGAACGATGTTTTGCGGGTCTGCACTGGGCGAGAGCTACGCGTAAACTGGGTCATTCGCCTTTGTCTCGGTTGCCCTGGATACGCGTCTCGGTCGCCCTGGTTACGTGTCTCGGTCGCCCTGGTTACTCGTCTCGGTCGCCCTGGCTACGCGTCTCGGTCGCCCTGGTTACGTGTCTCGGTCGCCCTGGTTACGCGTCTCGGTCGCCCTGGTTACGCGTCTCGGTCGCCCTGGTTACGCGTCTCGGTCGCCCTGGTTACGCGTCTCGGTCGCCCTGGCTACGCGTCTCGGCCCAAACCGGTTCTTTCCAGTTGTTCGACCTCCGAATTTTTGTTCGATGTCCGGGGCAAAAAATGGTCAAATTTTGTTCGATCACCGAATTGTTCGAGTTCTGGGGCGGTCGATCTCGGAGGTTCTACTGTACATGTAAATATATAAACATATACAGAAGGACACAGATCCCCCATATAGCCTGAATAGGCTTTTGGGGCAAATACAAATGTACATTATAGTTTTAACAGACTGTTGGGAGAAGTGCTGTTCGCAAGCACCAATGAAGCCCAGCACGGCATATGAGGTGGTGGGTGGCTAGCACCATGCCTGGCCGTCTTTGTCTCCCTCGTGCCAATGTTTAAACATAACACCAGGTACTCCTTTCAAGTTGTCAACCTAGGAGAGGCCCAGAACCGGTTTGAATATGCATCACTGGTGAAGTCCACCAATGCGTGTTCACACGCATTCGTGCGCATGTACATGTAGACATGTGTACGCACAACTAATACACATACACAAAAGTGTGCACACAAATGCATATGCATATGCACACACGTGCTTATTTTTTTTATCATCACCGCCACACATGGTTGAGAACTCAACCATCCACGTGTTCTCAGATGTCAGACATGACCATTATGAACCACCTGACCAACCTAATGGCCACCCCCCCCCCCCCCCGTGTCCTGCATCCCCTGCCCTCTGACCCCACAGTTCAAGGCTACGGTGGAGAAGAACAAGCAGGGCCTGGAGGGAGAGAACCGTGAGCTGGCAAGCGAGGTGAAGGTGCTGAGCCAGGCACGTAGCGAACTGGAGATGAAGCGCAAGCGAGCCGAGGCCCAGGTCCAGGAGCTGCAGGCGAAGGTGGCGGAGAGCGATCGGGCGCGTACGGAGCTCGCCGACCGCACCAACAAATTCCAGGTGCTGCTCCCCTCCCACCACGCACACGGTCCCCTCTGGTCACGGCGAATGTCGGAGAAGTACAGCGAAGTTGGTGACCCGCCCAGCGGACGGCGAGCGCTGATGATGTTTATATGTTGAACTTTTTTCGCACTGCGCGTAACCAACCGTGCTAATCAGAGGTGCGGAGAAGGACAACAAGCTATAAAAGGCAATACGCAGTTCTAAAGAAATTAGTTTTCAAAAAGATATGAATGGTGGAGATTTTCTCACACGAGCTCCGACGTTATGGATTCGTCTTCCATTAGTATTTTGGTCACGCCCTCCTTGTCTGAGAAGAGGTTGCGTGGTAAATGCTTGCTTACTGTACGATTAATGATACATTTCTAAGATGCTTTATGATTGTTTATAGAAGGGGATGTGTGGAACATAGTTGATTGCTGTTTGATTACTTTACTTCTGTATGATGATACATGGGATTGTGCAAGGTCCCTTGGATGTATTTATCATAAAAGACAATATAAATGTAATTCATTATCATCAGTTTCAGTGTTATATGTGATAAAGCTGATGGAGATGACAACTGCCCCTAAGTGCTCATTTGAGTCGAGGAGATACTTGGACTTTCAATCAAATTTTAAGTTTATGAACTTGTAACATACACTGTGTTCGCTGTGCAATCTCTATAAGCGCCCTAACGTGACCTGACTTTGAATGTACGTTGAACTTCTTTTGCACCATACGTAGCCCACCGTGCTAATCGAAGTCGCAGGAAATGAATGTTATTGAATAAATAAATGGTTATTGTGATGAAAATTAATGGACCATCGTCGCGTTTAGAGCGAGCTGGAGGCCCTCTCGGGCATTCTGTCGGACACCGAGAGCAAGGCCATCAAGCTGAACAAGGAGACTTCGAGCCTGCAGTCCCAGCTCCAGGATGCACAGGTATGGGACCTGCCACCACCTTGGCCATATTCTCCCACACAAACGAGCACAATCGGCATACATTGGTGTGTTTGTGTGGAAGCACATATACATTACATGTGCACGCATACACACACATTGGAGTGCAGTGGTTAGCGCGTTGAATTGATCCTGGCCCTTCCCCAAATCGACTCCACTTTAAATATGAGTTCCTGGCGTAGTGTGTGTAAAGCATCACTACTGGTGAGATGAAGGCGGCTGGGCGCGTGGTGCTGGTCACGTCATTCCGTGTCGGCCTTAATTGGTGCTCGCTGACTGCACTTGCCCCAAAAGTCTATGATGGCTAATTGGGAGAGCTTTTGTCAAAGTGTGCACATGGGAGCGGTGATAATTTTTGCTTTGTTATCCACTTTGTTTCTAATATAGCTAACTTTAGTCATCCTTGGATAGAATTATTTTCTAGTTGTGTAAGTAAATCAAACATTACCAATAATAGTGCACAATCATCTATTTGCCACTCCCCTATAGCTTTTCATTTGCATATCCCCGCTATTTTAAAAGGAATTCTGATATGAGATCACATTTTTACACCCTGTAAATTAATATTGTAACTGTGATGCAATAAGCATTGACGCTGATGATGGCAATCCGTGTGTGCGGTCCACAGGAATTGCTCCAGGAGGAAACGCGCATGAAGCTAAACTTCAGTACGAAGGTGCGGCAAATGGAGGATGAAAAGAACAGCCTCCAGGAGCAGCTGGAGGAGGAGGAGCAGGCGAAACGCAACCTCGAGAAGCAGTTGGCGACGCTGCAGACGCAGGTATGAGAGTGAACTTATTATGTTGACTGCTTTAGTCGCCGAGTCGAAGAGGATGACCGAATTACATCAAGAGACTTAGGCTTGATTTATATTCCACAGATTGTCAGCAACTAGTCTCAACACTGACTAAATCCAACTGGTGTGTTCGTTTGTTATCGCGGACAGCTGAGCGACGTCAAGAAGCACGCGGATGACAACTTGGGCACAGTGGAGGCTCTGGAGGAGGCAAAACGGAAGCTGCAGAAGGACATGGAGACCCTGGGTAACCGCTACGAGGAAAAGCTCGCCGCATATGACAAGGTGGGTGGCTGTGATGGCACGCAGTGACATCGGTGGCATGTGGGTTAGCGCGGTCAGATGTGGGGAATATGGAGATGGAGGTTGGGTGAGGTGGGACTGCAAGGACAGCCAGATACAGACATTGTGGAGAAGTAAACTTAGGAAAGTAAGGTACAGAGAATAATCAGGTGATTGGAGATGTTTCAGGGCCAAGAATTGTGGATGTTCCTTCTGCATGGATTGGAGCTGTGCTGTGTAAAAATCCAGGCTGCACATTATATTGACTTTCCCGCTTTCCTTCCCCCCTCACGTTGGCTCCTCCATCTGCTTGCGTGCGTGTGGGAAAATGAAACAAAAAAGGTGGAGAAAACCAAGAACCGGCTACAGCAGGAGCTGGACGACCTCACGGTTGACCTGGATCACCAGCGACAGACCGTGTCCAACCTTGAGAAGAAGCAGAAGAAGTTTGACCAGGCGAGTGACCTCACCGACATCATCACCATTGCTCTCATCTTCATTACGTTCATCACTGTCAGCATTACCTTATAATCGTAACTGTCGTCTGCATCGCCTTCATCAAATTATACCTTTTAACATTGACGTGATCCATCAGCGATATCAATGTAACTTGCACATTCATATATTTTTTCAATGTAGTGTTAATCATCAATTTCGTCATTTCATTTCATCATTTCCAACACACATAATTAGAATACAAGTTGGTGGAAAACTAAATAGAATTAATGAAACATTGGCTAAGGAAAATAACAATACCTGTAAAATATCATGCCTCTCTAAATCATCCGCAAGGTGCCCCATCTCGTCAGATTTTGGAAGCCAAGCAGGTTTGAACCTGAATACTGCTTGGTTAGATGACCACCAAGCATGCCAGGTTATAATGGGTGCCTACGGTGCTATGCTGCTTTATGAGCAGCAAAGAATGCCTTAACCAGCCCGCACTAACCAGTGTGGTAAAGCATGGTCAAGTAACTCCCATAGCCCACACAGCATTGGGATTCCCTCATCCAGCAGTGGATTGACAAAAGGACTCTACATATGCACAATATTCCATATCTTTCTTACCCACTGTGCGCTCCTGATTGTTACAGCTACGATTGTGAATACTTTCTTATTGTTGTGATCGATCGCGTTGTTGTTTGTGGTGTAGATGCTGGCGGAAGAGAAGAACGTGTCCACGCGCTACGCCGAGGAGCGTGACCGCGCCGAGGCCGACGCCCGCGAGAAGGAGACCAAGGCGCTGTCGTTGGCTCGGGCGCTCGAGGAGGCCATGGAGTCCAAGGGGGAGCTGGAGCGGAGCAACAAGCAGCTCCGCGCCGAGATGGAGGACCTCGTCAGCTCCAAGGACGACGTCGGCAAGAACGTACGTTTCCACTCTCGACTCTGCTGTGCCCGGCGCAAAGAGATTTTGAGGTTTTTAAAAGGGACATTGGGCTATAGAAGGACCTGGTGGCTCGGAGATCAGGGGGCTTGAGCTGGTGCCACCACTGAGATCTTGGGTTTGAAAAGCCATACAAATCTGGAGAAAATTCATACTCACCAGACCTGTTTCCCAATGCAGGGTGATATCCCACCCAATTTCAGAGCTCTACATTTTTAATTGACACCAATGGCACAATCAGAATAAAATTTGGGAGGAAATTCAAGAAGAGGTATATAAAAGACCTGCAAAATACCGTAGTTTTTTTCCTCGCTTGAGTTGATCTGTGTTCTTAAAGAATCTGAAAAATACTTTGCAAAAGGAAAATTTCATGAAAAAGTCATCTTATCAAAATGAAAGACATGGAAATGTGTCTGCGAGTGCTTTAAAAAGCGAGACAAATCACTCTTCCAGGCAGCGTTTAAAGCTTCTGGAACACCAATCATCCAATTACCATTGCATTTTAACTTGACCATGTATAAAATAGCACTCGCTCGCCAAGGTCGCTTGTTACTTTCTAGGCGAGGGCTGTGGACTTCAACGTGTCCGTTGCGTGCGGTCGCACTTCACTTGGAGGGTGAACACGAGTTGCCCCTTGGTCTTACATTGTTCTCTCCCTTCGTGGCCACCGCCGCCACCCGTTTGACCCGTGCTGCAGGTGCACGAGTTGGAGAAGTCGAAGCGGGCCCTGGACCAGCAGGTGGCGGAGATGCGCACGCAGTTGGAGGAGCTGGAGGATGAGCTGCAGGCCACCGAGGATGCCAAGCTGCGCCTGGAGGTCAACATGCAGGCGCTGAAGGCGCAGTACGACCGCGAGCTGCTGGGCAAGGATGAGCAGGGCGAGGAGAAGCGGCGCCTGCTCATCAAGCAGGTGGGCACGGCGGGGGAGACGCGCGGGCTGGAGACGCGTGGGCTAGACGCGCGTGGGCTAGAGGCGCGTGGGCTAGACGCGCGTGGGCTAGACGCGCGTGGGCTAGACGCGCGTGGGCTAGACGCGCGGGGGCTAGACGCGCGTGGGCTAGACGCGCGTGGGCTAGACGCGCGGGGGCTAGACGCGCGTGGGCTAGACGCGCGTGGGCTAGACGCGCGTGGGCTAGACGCGCGTGGGCTAGACGCGCGTGGGCTAGACGCGCGTGGGCTAGACGCGCGTGGGCTAGACGCGCGTGGGCTAGAGGCGCGTGGGCTAGACGCGCGTGGGCTAGACGCGCGTGGGCTAGAGGCGCGTGGGCTAGAGGCGCGTGGGCGAGACGCGCGTGGGCTAGAGGCGCGTGGGCTAGACGCGCGGGGGCTAGACGCGCGGGGGCTAGACGCGCGGGGGCTAGACGCGCGTGGGCTAGAGGCGCGTGGGCTAGAGGCGCGTGGGCTAGAGGCGCGTGGGCTAGACGCGCGGGGGCTAGACGCGCGGGGGCTAGACGCGCGGGGGCTAGACGCGCGGGGGCTAGACGCGCGGGGGCTAGACGCGCGGGGGCTAGACGCGCGGGGGCTAGACGCGCGGGGGCTAGAGGCGCGGGGGCTAGAGGCGCGGGGGCTAGAGGCGCGGGGGCTAGAGGCGCGGGGGCTAGACGCGCGGGGGCTAGACGCGCGGGGGCTAGAGGCGCGGGGGCTAGAGGCGCGGGGGCTAGAGGCGCGGGGGCTAGACGCGCGGGGGCTAGACGCGCGGGGGCTAGACGCGCGTGGGCTAGAGGCGCGTGGGCTAGACGCGCGGGGGCTAGAGGCGCGTGGGCTAGAGGCGCGTGGGCTAGACGCGCGGGGGCTAGAGGCGCGTGGGCTAGAGGCGCGTGGGCTAGAGGCGCGGGGGCTAGAGGCGCGTGGGCTAGAGGCGCGTGGGCTAGAGGCGCGTGGGCTAGAGGCGCGTGGGCTAGAGGCGCGTGGGCTAGAGGCGCGTGGGCTAGAGGCGCGTGGGCTAGACGCGCGGGGGCTAGAGGCGCGTGGGCTAGAGGCGCGTGGGCTAGAGGCGCGTGGGCTAGAGGCGCGTGGGCTAGAGGCGCGTGGGCTAGACGCGCGGGGGCTAGACGCGCGTGGGCTAGAGGCGCGTGGGCTAGAGGCGCGTGGGCTAGAGGCGCGTGGGCTAGAGGCGCGTGGGCTAGACGCGCGGGGGCTAGAGGCGCGTGGGCTAGAGGCGCGTGGGCTAGACGCGCGGGGGGCTAGAGGCGCGTGGGCTAGAGGCGCGTGGGCTAGAGGCGCGTGGGCTAGAGGCGCGTGGGCTAGACGCGCGGGGGCTAGAGGCGCGTGGGCTAGAGGCGCGTGGGCTAGAGGCGCGTGGGCTAGAGGCGCGTGGGCTAGAGGCGCGTGGGCTAGAGGCGCGTGGGCTAGAGGCGCGTGGGCTAGACGCGCGGGGGCTAGACGCGCGGGGGCTAGACGCGCGTGGGCTAGACGCGCGTGGGCTAGAGGCGCGTGGGCTAGACGCGCGTGGGCTAGACGCGCGTGGGCTAGACGCGCGGGGGCTAGACGCGCGGGGGCTAGACGCGCGGGGGCTAGACGCGCGGGGGCTAGACGCGCGGGGGCTAGACGCGCGGGGGCTAGACGCGCGGGGGCTAGACGCGCGGGGGCTAGACGCGCGGGGGCTAGACGCGCGGGGGCTAGACGCGCGGGGGCTAGACGCGCGGAGGGCTAGACGCGCGGGGGCTAGAGGCGCGGGGGCTAGAGGCGCGGGGGCTAGAGGCGCGGGGGCTAGAGGCGCGGGGGCTAGACGCGCGGGGGCTAGACGCGCGGGGGGCTAGACGCGCGTGGGCTAGAGGCGCGTGGGCTAGAGGCGCGTGGGCTAGAGGCGCGTGGGCTAGAGGCGCGTGGGCTAGAGGCGCGTGGGCTAGACGCGCGTGGGCTAGAGGCGCGTGGGCTAGACGCGCGTGGGCTAGACGCGCGTGGGCTAGAGGCGCGTGGGCTAGAGGCGCGTGGGCTAGAGGCGCGTGGGCTAGAGGCGCGTGGGCTAGAGGCGCGTGGGCGAGACGCGCGTGGGCTAGACGCGCGGGGGCTAGACGCGCGGGGGCTAGACGCGCGGGGGCTAGACGCGCGTGGGCTAGACGCGCGGGGGCTAGACGCGCGGGGGCTAGACGCGCGGGGGCTAGAGGCGCGTGGGCTAGAGGCGCGTGGGCTAGAGGCGCGTGGGCTAGACGCGCGGGGGCTAGACGCGCGGGGGCTAGACGCGCGGGGGCTAGACGCGCGGGGGCTAGACGCGCGGGGGCTAGACGCGCGGGGGGCTAGACGCGCGGGGGCTAGAGGCGCGGGGGCTAGAGGCGCGGGGGCTAGAGGCGCGGGGGCTAGAGGCGCGGGGGCTAGACGCGCGGGGGCTAGACGCGCGGGGGCTAGACGCGCGGGGGCTAGACGCGCGTGGGCTAGAGGCGCGTGGGCTAGAGGCGCGTGGGCTAGAGGCGCGTGGGCTAGAGGCGCGTGGGCTAGACGCGCGGGGGCTAGACGCGCGGGGGCTAGACGCGCGTGGGCTAGACGCGCGTGGGCTAGAGGCGCGTGGGCTAGACGCGCGGGGGCTAGACGCGCGGGGGCTAGACGCGCGGGGGCTAGACGCGCGGGGGCTAGACGCGCGGGGGCTAGACGCGCGGGGGCTAGACGCGCGGGGGCTAGACGCGCGGGGGCTAGACGCGCGGGGGCTAGACCGCGCGGGGGCTAGACGCGCGGGGGGCTAGAGGCGCGGGGGCTAGAGGCGCGGGGGCTAGAGGCGCGGGGGCTAGAGGCGCGGGGGCTAGAGGCGCGGGGGCTAGACGCGCGTGGGCTAGAGGCGCGTGGGCTAGAGGCGCGTGGGCTAGACGCGCGGGGGCTAGACGCGCGTGGGCTAGAGGCGCGTGGGCTAGAGGCGCGTGGGCTAGAGGCGCGTGGGCTAGAGGCGCGTGGGCGAGACGCGCGGGGGCTAGACGCGCGGGGGCTAGACGCGCGGGGGCTAGACGCGCGGGGGCTAGACGCGCGGGGGCTAGTCGCGCGGGGGCTAGACGCGCGGGGGCTAGACGCGCGGGGGCTAGACGCGCGGGGGCTAGACGCGCGGGGGCTAGACGCGCGGGGGCTAGACGCGCGGGGGCTAGAGGCGCGTGGGCCAGACGCGCGGTAAGACTGGCGGACACGTTGGTCATGCTTTTATTTTGAAGAAAGACTCAACCCAAAAACATAAGGTGTGCTTTTTGTAACTGTATTCAAATGTATGTTTTGTTTAGGGGCCCCTGGGCATATTCAGTGGTGCTTTATTTACAGTAGATTTAATCTGGCAATTGCCATAGGTCAGTGTTATTCTAGTAACAAAATAAAGTGGTTTGGTAGCCTCTTCTTCTATTGAGGCTTTAGTGTGTTGCATTTTCATTTAATGGATACACACTGCCTGAAATGTAATGAATTGTTACGATTCTGGTTCAAGATTCATTTACAGAACCGATGTTTCTGCATCGTTACTGTGTAGTTTGTTCTTTGTCATTTGCATTGACTGCAGGGAACAAGCATGCAATTAATATTTGCAGTTGCCTCTTGCGTTTCCCGATTCATAATAGGCATTGTGAGCATTGGAAATTGATTGAATCAGTATCAATCCTTCCCAACTTATTGAAATCCGCACATTGACATCAAACCACCCCTCCCCCGGGCGCGTGTGGCGTGCGCAGGTGCGCGAGATGGAGACGGAGCTGGAGGAAGAGCGCAAGCAGCGTGCGCAGGCTGTGAACGCCAAGAAGAAGCTGGAGATGGACCTGCAGGACCTGGTGGGCCAGGCTGAGACGGCCAACAAGGGCCGGGACGAGGCCACCAAGCAGCTGCGCAAGCTGCAGACGCAGTTCAAGGAGTTCTACCGCGAGCTGGAGGAGACGCGCACCTCCCGCGACGAGATCTTCAACCAGGCGCGCGATAACGACAAGAAGTTCAAGAGCCTCGAGGCCGAGATCATGCACCTGCAGGAGGTGAGCAAGACCGTGCTCTACCGCCAAAGTGATCCGCGCAGTGTGTCCTATGAAATAAAGTGACCGGATATGCCGTGACCCGCATGTAACACGGGGTTATTGGATAAAAGGTAAACAACAACATTCAGGTGCGGATTGCCACCGCTGGCGGAAGAGTCTTCACTCGAGCAAGCTCCAGAGAGACCCTGTAAGAGGGTATTGTGGCGTACTCTTCCACGCTAGCCAGATAATAACGGTAAGTTTGATTTATGACGCCCACAGGATTCGTGCATCAGGTCGCCAACAAATCAGAGTTGGGGGTTACGTACACTTTACCCTGCCACATGCAAATATGCCTATCAACTGTGGTACATCCATTTAGAATGCTAAGAGGACAGAGGTGGGGGGGGATTTAAGAAACTTGCCCATTTTTTTCAAATTCCGTGTGCGGAGATTGAACTAGCGACCTCTGGATTGCATGTCCAGTCAGCTATGAACTATTCACTGCGGCAGCATCCCAGGGGAATGCAGTGTACTCAAAATAACTGAACTGCCCAAAATTACAAATTGCCAAGCAACCAGTAAACAACAGCACTATTGAAGGCATAATAGGGAAGTGAATACTGAATTGAGTGAAGGCCGTAGAATTTGAAATCGGAGATAATGGGAGGGAATTCTATCGTTGAAAAGGTGAAATGAGATGGGCACTAGGTGCTCCACTCCAGGCAGGACAACAGTATTCCAGCATGGCTGAATTTGTGCTTCTATAGTCATGTTAATAATTGTTCAGAATTAAATATTTGGCAGGGGAAAAGAGAGCCATTATTCTTCGATACCTCCTTAGCTAGCTGAGTAATATAGCAATTCCATGCCAGGTCAGATGAAATTGTTGTGCTAAAAAGATATGCGCGTGTGTTTATTGAGCGATAGTGTCGTGATTAGCGCAGGAACTATGAACCGGGCAACCCGAGTACAATTCCCGCTCACGGCCAACACAAGTGACGATTATCTGAATTGGTCCTGGGTCTCCCCTAGGTCAATTCTGCCTCAAATGAGTGTCTGCGATGTGTGAACATCGCCACTCAGGATACAAAGGCGGCCGAATGTGGTGCTGGCCTCCCACCCCCTCGTGTGCTTTGTCCGCCTTCATAGGTGCTTGCTATAACAGCACTTGTCCTAACAGTCTGTTAAGGCTATAAGGGAGATCTTTGTCTCTGTCTTTGTGATCATTCAGGAACTGGCAGCTGCCGAGCGCGCTCGCCGGCACGTGGAGGCGGAGCGCGATGAGCTCGCCGAGGAGATCGCCAGCGGCAGCTCTGGGAAGTGCGTAACACAGACGCACAGCGCGGTATCATTTTTCACGAAACGATATCGGTGTCCACCGTTGTGATGATTACCAATGCTTGGAATTGCACTGAGAAAAATAACACATCACACAATGATGTGAAGTAAATTATGATGGGTAATTGGGCCTGGAATACCAATTTAAGGGAATACATCGGTGGTCGTCCATTGGAAAAAACTTGCAGGACCATGGCTAATCTGGTATTTTAACCACTTGTTCCGAGCCTCTAACCTGAGAGATGAGCAGAGTGGGGCTCGTCACTATTGGCAGCCCGGAGCCTGACTCTGCGAATGAGTCCCAGAAGGTAAAGACTGGTATTGTGTTTGCTTGCTGAAACACATGCTGCTGAATAATATTGGTATGGAAAGTGAATTGACTGATGGACTGAAATGTATTTTTATTTATGTGTGGAGACAGCTGTCCCTCTCACTGCCCGTTACTGCTCATGTGTGCTCTTGGGAGTCAGGCTGTTCTACCCTCATCCTCCAAGCAGTTAGAACGCACAGCAGCGAAGGACGATGGTGCGAGACATGGCGTGAACTCTCTCCCGCAGGTCTGCGCTGCTGGATGAGAAGCGTCGACTCGAGACTCGCATCGTGCAGCTGGAGGAGGAGGTCGACGAGGAGCAGAACAACACAGAGCTCCTTCAGGACCGCCTGCGCAAGACCACGCTTCAGGTGCATTCAGCACGGCAGTCAACGCTGCAGATATGTTCCCCAGGCACTTGATTGACTCAAACAGGAGAGGGCGGAAGTGGTGAAAGGAGTGGAAGAGAGGGTGGTGTATACTTTTTCTGCTTTTTATAATGAACAAGTATTGTGAAGGTGTTTTTTTTTTCCTATTCCTTTTTTCACTGATGGGGCCTGGACCCACCGGCCCTTAATGATGAGCCACCGTGGATAATAATGATGATGGCGACAAAGACGAGCGCGTCGTCACCATGCCGGTGTTCTTGCCCACCGCGGTGCAGGTGGACCAGATAACGATGGAGCTGACCAGCGAACGCAGCCTCACGCAGAAGGCCGATGGGCTTCGTCTGCAACTCGAGCGCCAGAACAAGGAGCTGAAGCTGAAGCTGCAAGAGCTGGAGTCGGAGGGCAAAACCAAGTACAAGAGCATCATCGCCACCTTGGAGGCCAAGATTGCCGCCCTGGATGAGCAGCTCGACATGGAAGCGCGGTGAGGGCAGACGGACAGGATGCTGACAACACATATGGGTTGAGGTGGAGGCAAAGTGATGGAAGGAAATTGATTGGGCATAGATGGAATCTGTTGGATGGAGGTGGTTCTGTGATGATGGAGGTATAGATTGACATCTGTTAGGTAGGGTAGAGGTGAAGTAGAATTGACAGGACATGGATGGAATTTCCTAGAATTGGGGGCAGTAAATGGAACGGACCAAGATGCACTTAAAACATTTACTGTCTTGTGATGGTAGTGATGGAGGTATGTTGATATGTTTGCATAAACGAGTGCTGGATGGTAGTGAAGATTTCATGATGGCGATTCGCCTTTGGTGAATGAGTGGAGTGCGTGCTATGGTGAGGCAGACATCAACAGGTCTAATTTGTTGGTATGTACACGTGTGGCATGGGGAATTAAGATGAGTCTTTGGTGAAGGCACATTGATGCACACATGGATAACTCCTGAGATGTGTTGGGGTTTTAGTACATTGATATGGCATGGGCAATGCAGACATGGTTGCGAAATGTTCTTTGGGAAAGGCACACTTACAGGATGGGAGTATTGACGTGTTTTCAGTGGAGAAACATTAATTTGGCTTGGCTGGTTGACTGGTGGAATCGGATAGACTCATTGGCAGCGCAGGAGCGTAGAGATGCAAAGGAGCATAATTTAGAGGGCTGCAGCGCGAGCAAATCAACGGGGCAGTGTTCAGGCTTAGTCAGGTGGTGGAGGCGCACGAATGTAGCGACGTGTGCGCGTCATCGCAGGGAGCGCGCGGCAGCCAACAAATTGGTGCGGCGCACGGACAAGAGGCTCAAGGAGGTGGCGCTGCAGGTGGAGGATGAACGCCGCCACGCGGATCAGTACCGTGAGCAGGTGGGAACGGATGCACGGGCGCGCACAGACGATGCATGGACACTGTTGGGAGACATTGAAACGTGACCACAAATGAATGAATGTGCGTGCAATAGCTTCACTTGACTCAAGCAGCCAATATTGCCAGCTACATTAACCACTACATTTTATAAATAAATCATATTTTTACCATGAAACATTGTGAATCATTACAGGTGTACAAGTTCGTAACTTTTGTCCTCATTCCTTTCATCATTGCATTTGTTAGTCATTAACTATCATCATCGCGTTCAACAGCAATAGTTTATGGTTAATGTACCTGTGGCGTGATTATTGTGCGTTTGATGAACCTCGGGCATGGTGCCGTGTCGTCAGTGCGGTGTCGTGGCCTTGCGTTATCACATTTGCTGCTTTTTGCAAAGGTTTGTGGATTGAGCCCAGCAGCTTCCCTGGTTAATACCAAAGATGATGACATCGTTAGAAAAAGAGTAGGCCACGTGTGGCCAGCATCACAGTCCGAATTTGACAAGTGTTAAAATCACTCACAAATGACCTATTTGGGTAAAGCCACCGCAACATGACCTCGCTACTGTGAAAACTACTGCTGACTATAATTGTCGGCGAAACACAGTGATAGCCTTGCTATATATGAATCGCGCAAATGCCAAATTTGCTCATGATTTGATTTGAATGTGGGCACGCTGCGATGATTACAGGTGGAGAAGGTGACTGGACGCATGAAGGCGCTGAAGCGGCAGCTGGAGGAGGCGGAGGAGGAGGCAACGCGTGCCAACTCTTCGAGGCGCAAGCTGGCGCGGGAGCTTGAGGATGTCACGGAGTCTGCCGAAGCCATGAACCGCGAGGTCAACACCCTCAAGACCAAGCTGAGGTGTGTGGAGCCCAGATGCCGGCAGCAGCTATCCCTCTCGCTGCCCTTCACTGGGAATAACGATGTGGCTTTGGGCCACCGAGCAGGAAGGATAGACAGTTTTTTGGGTGGCTGGACTACCACCGAGTTAAACTACCTAAAAAAAATTGAATTCCAACCTGCCTGCCTACCCCCACCAGCTTGCCGTACCTGCATGCCAATCTACCAACAGACATTCTTTGTAGGGTGGGCTAGAAGTCTGCTTATGAAACATCCACTTTCAGCCCCCTCCTCTGCGGAAACTTCGTAGTAGAGGAATAAGAACTGTTTTGAAAAGTGCCGGTACACAGGTTTGGCGTTCAACTATTGGATCATTTTGACCACCGATTGTGAACGTATAATTGATTCGCGATCAACTACAAAATGAGCTGGTCATTTATCACGAGTAGTCATGAGTTGTAGCTCTTTGAATGACACTTCTCGCTCCACCTGCCCCTTGTTCCTCACTCCTCTCGCCCCTCCCCCCTCTGTGCAGACGCGGGCCCTACACCTTCACGAGCATCACGCGACGTGTCGTCTCGTCCGTCACAGAGACAGAAGTTTCTGACGATGAGACCAGCGGTGACAAAATCCAGGGAGATGCCAAGCCTGAGTGAATGGGGTTCCTACTGGAGGAGGGGGAATGCACACGCACATATATACACACGCACACGAAACACATGGGCATATACACACACACACAAGCTCACACAGGGACTCGCGATCAAAGTGAGGGATGTGGAATGGCTGCATTGAAATCAAAGTTAATAATAACAGCATTGGAGTGGGCACCCAGAGACTGGCAATAAACCAAAAACCAAAGGGTGGTGATGATCATTTAAGTGCGGACTTTCGAGGTCAAGTGTTGACTGTGTAACAGTTGCAGGATCTGGCACTGGCCATGATAACCACTTAACTTCACCTTGGGCTGTAAATCCTTAAACAATAAAAACACCACTAAAGATATTCATACCTACCAGCTTGTTTTGTAAAGTTTGCTCGTCTAATATCCCCATCTATTTTACCAAAATTAACCAGTGGTGAACCATTCTTCATGACCCAAATTTATTGAGACGTCATTTTCCAAAAAAATAGGCTAATATATCGATGAGCATCTTGGTAAAACATTGAGCATGGAATTTAAGTTTGATTGCTCTCTGGCAAATACTCGTTAAAGAGCATGTGGCAAGATATGGCAGCTCCTGTGGATAAGAGCCCAATTAAAGTGGCTCCAAGTGTAGTTTTAGGTGATCTCGGTGGTTACTCGTTTGGAACGGAATGCTAATAGAATAATTGGAGTGCAAGGAAAGCAAAACAATCGTGTTTTTAATCATGTGTTTTGACCTCTTGTTTCCCACTCTTGAGCCACCACACCACCCTTTACACTGATAGCTGTGTCCCAGCCACTGAATAATGGACTTCTTGGTAAAATGCTAATGACATGTGCTAGAGTGCTGGCCAGGTGGCTCAGATGACTATTAAACCTGTGTTGAAGCACTTGAAGCTAGGACTTGTAACATGGATTTTAATCGCAGCCTGCAAATTACGATTAATTAAGGTTTTCATACAAGGAAAATTTGTTGGTCTCAGCTCATTAACCATTTATGAGCCCCCTGACACCACCCAGCCAATTGGAACCAACAGATTGCGAAAGTGAGATAGATCTTAACTATATACATGCTTTCCTTTTCTGGATCGTAAATCACCAGGTTACTTGGGTGTATGCTTATATGTTGATGTTAAAATTGTATTACAATAAAAGCATCTTTTTATACAATCAGATATTCTTTGTAGGAAATGTGGATATGGTTTTATTTGGACTGTGGTCATTTGTTATTGTCATTGATATTTCTAGTCGTTACACAAAATGATGCAATTGTGACCAAACTCAACCACCAACCCAACCTTTGATATGTGATGTCATGAGTTCAAGTGAGGCTCGAGAGCATTCTTTTGTATCGTCAAACATGCGCCAATTCCAATGAATCATTAACACAATAACATTCCTAAAGTTATTGTTTCAATAACATACATTTCCATCTATGTATGAATTCTAGAATTAGTTTTTTTATGTTTGTTCATGTTTTGCTTTGGTATTGGTAAATAGATTTATGGTTGTCATTAAGTAATGGGGGGTGCTTGTCACCAGGGCAATGGACATGATCGACAATTAGCAATAACCAATCACGTAGTGATATTAAACATTGTTAAATTCAGCCATTTAGTCTTGGACTATCGACACCATTAATATTACTCTCCGCAATGTCCAAGAGTCTTCGGTCGCCTTTTTTTATTTTACATTAGTTCTATTTTAGTTCTTTTCAGTAAGCATCCATCACATCATTAGTTTTCTTTTATTATTTTGCTGCTATGCATATCCATATTTTATGAGCAGCAATCATTCAATAATAGTTCATTAAACAATATCGCTTTCTCATATGCAAGGCAATACAAACGGGGTTTCGTATTGTGCTCTGAAAAGAACACAAGCCTACTTAAAATGCGTCCCTTTATAATATAAGTGCGCAGTCTATAATTGTATAAGTGCCTTCCTTCCCATATATCCTGTGACCTTGTTGCACTTGTTAATGCTGCAAAGGGCACATCACCTTGCCGCTGTTGAGATGCCTTGTTATGTGGTTGCCTTATTGAGACAAATTAAACGGTTTTGTAGTCCGTTTTTATAATTTTTGTTATATTACACTCTTGTTCCATTTACATTGGCCCAGGGCAAGCAGTGTGATTCTCTTTGTTTAATTTGTTTTCGGGCCATAACCACCATCGCTTATGCCACAGTGGGGAACCTGTTTTGACAAATTGCTGGTCCTGATGTCCATGTGTGTTCATTTAGTGATAACATGGAGTGTGGTGACCTTTGGGGAGATTATTTTCCTGTAACAACCATGTGGGGACCACTTGAGCTTTGACCCTCAATAAAAATGATGGTAATGGTAAATGTGTTAAAAAGCTTGTTTCTTGTGTCTGGCTAAGGGGGGGATGACTTCCCATGGCGATTGATGGTTACCCTCAGCTCAATTTGAGGTTGCAAGTTAAAATCCTGGTCTATGGTTGACTCGCCCCATCCTCCTGGGGCTGGTAAAAGAACCACCACTTTGTAAAAAAAAACATCCTGTAGTAGAGGTTCTGTGAAACGATAACCCGACCATGGGAATGTGACATTTGCCTCACTGGTTGATGAGTTATAACGGTGAAGGGCACTACAGTACCTCATTACTAATTTGAGTTGGGAGTAATTTGGACTTTACCAACAATATTCTTTGGGTCTTTCGGTAAAGTCACGTAGATAGGTTCAAAGAAAACAACAAAAACTCGACGTTTCAATCGCAACACAAGCGGTCGTCATCGAAACGTAGTTTTTTTTATTTTCTTTGAACCTATCTACGTGACTTTACCGAAAGACCTAAAGAATATGAATTTCGATAATAGGTTTTTTCCCCTTTTTTCTGTCAACAAAACAGGTGTTAAGATGTTAAAACACCAAACTGAAAACTTTGTACAAGGAATCATGTCTGCATTAACCACAATGCTTGTGGTCAGAATGCAAACAAAAAACATACTCTGGTACTATATGCAACATGAATTCCTGCAGTCACGAAAGCTTTAAGTCAAGATTTTACCAAAAATTAGACCGTACACTAGTACTGTATATACTTCCAGTTATGACCAAGATCAGAACAAGACACTGGCCAAGGATACAAACTGAAAAGTGCTTGTGATCACAAAAAGCATCATTTCGAGCTCAAGGACAATTGTATCTAAAATATCATTCGAAGCCCCCTTGTCAATGCCGGATGAAGGGCCCTCCCGTGACAAGCTGTGGTGGTTGTCTGACCAAACGCCATGCTGGTCAATGCCATGTGGAGAACGGGAAGCCGGTGGGACCAGTTTAGATCATCACTACACATTTTAGAACACCGTGAGGGAGGTGGGAGGTCCCTCCACCCCCTTATATTCCGCTGCATCCACTCAAGATCTTTCCGACGCTCATCCCGGATACCAAGCTCGGCTGTAAAAAAAAAACCCACCGCAATTACATCTGCTTAGTGTAAGGAATCCCTAATCCCCAACAACAAAGTGCACCGTATGTTGAACTTCTTTCGCACCGTACGTAGCCAACCGTACCAATCGGAGATGCGGATGTGAAGGGCAACAAAGTAAACACAAAAAAAGTTCTAAATACATTTTTAATAAGTGATATTTTAAAAAAAAACTTTTTTTAAACACGCTTTAATGAAATGTACCGTACTAGTCATTGAATAGCTCCACGACTCCAGGAAGTGGCCCCGAAGCTTGCCACAACGTATGGGGCCCGTGGTGATTTACAGCCAACGCCAGTCGAGCGTGGACAATTAGACCCAAGCCGAAACATAATATATAAAAAGTAATGTTTAAAAATATGTTTATGATAGAATATAGTATTGTCATCAGTATGACATAAGTATACCAAGTTTGCAGTCAATACCACATTGGGAAGTGGTTTAAAATTGAGTTACAAGATTTGAGGATATGACAACAGACAGAGTGAGTTAAATAATAAAAGCGTGTAAATACAAAAAAAAGTTCTAAGCAAATTTGTTTTCAGTTTAAATTTGAAAAAAAAATACACAGCTCCACAGTGACTGCCCTAATATCGGGAAGAGCGTTCCAGACGGGTGCAGAAGCGCATCTGAACGCGCGCGATTCAGTGGACCGTCTCTTGCTCTTCTGCTGCTGCTTCTGCTGCTGCGAGTATGACCGGGGTGGTCAGCGTGATGGTTTCTCTTCCCTCGACGAGATCAGCGAGGTCACAGGGGTGGCTCACGTTCGCGTCCAATGACCTCGCGTGTAAGGGGCGCGCCGAACTTTCCCAGGGATTCGTCCGGCAACCGCAAAGCCAAATGCAGCTCGGTCTGCGAGCGGTGCGTGGTGGGGAGAGTGTTTCGGTGCTAAACTATTAAGCACGTTTCAGCAAACGTTAGTCAATAGCGCGGCGTGTAACAAACCTAACAAGCAACACAAACAAATAAACAAAAAACGACCCTGAATTCAGAAAATTTCGTGGCTTCAACAAATAAAAACAAATGTACTGACGGAACTGGAAGTAGGAACGATAAGGCAAGTCATGAGATTTGCATTTCCCAGAATGCGTCCGGCGCTTCCGTTCAATGTTTATGGTGTAAAACCTCACAACTGTGCGTGTTAAATCGCCTTGAGAAAGAACTAGCTTCTCTTACCATGAGGGATTTTAACTGTTAGTACTAATTTAAGTAGAATATGACATTGCACAGACATTTATATTCAGAGCCCATAGAATAAAGGTACAGGATTCCGGCTCATATAGGGATAGTGGGAGCAAACCAACTCATACTTACCTGACAGGGGAGGCACCATGATCACTTAGGTGGTCCTCCCAGGGCGAGGCTCATCCATTGCACTGCGGGTGGGTTGACCCCTGCGATTTCCCCAAATGCGGGAAACTCGACTGTATAATTTGTGGTACTGGGGGACTGCGTTCGCGCTATCCCCCGAACATTAAAGAAAAATAGAGTTATGGCATTTACATTACATGTTAGTGATTTGATTAACCATTTTTAAAATTAAACATGCTTCAAATCACTTTAAACTATTGTCATTGTGGCGCTGCACTCTGATGTTGTAGGAGAAATCATGTATTAAAAAGGCGTTGGAAGTATTCAACGTCTAACTAAAACTTCAGCTGTTCAGAATATTATATTTAAATTCTCTTATAATTATCACATATTGTTAGTGATTATATTAACCATTTTGAAAATGAAACATGCTTCACTTTAAACTATTGTTACTGTAGTGCGTAATTAATGTGGCGTATTAAAAAGGAGGCGTTGCAAAGCTGAAATTGAGCATGAAATTCACTTGAAAATATTCAACGTCTAATTAAAACTGCAGATGTTCAGAATATTATATTGAAATGCTCTTATATTTATCACATTATAACTATCAAAAAATACTTGAAACTTTGTAGTAGAACGAAGCAAAATGGAGTGTACAAATATAACAATCACATTTTCATTCCACAGAATGAAAAGCCCTGGTAGAATCATTAGAATCAAAATGTTTAATAACATTCATTAAAATTTTTTATGAAATGCTCCTTCAGGGAAAAAATAAAAGGTGACCTTAGTAAATAAAAAAATAACAAATAGCTAATAATGAAAATGAATCATCACAATTAGTGTAGTCATAACAATTATATTTAATGAATGTAAAGTTTCGCATTTTGATGTGGCGTCACATTTCTCAAACCCCCCTCTCGTCACACATCGTCACAAATGTCTGACCCCTCTCCCCCCCTCGGTGCGTGACGTCATATATGGACGGCCCCGAATAGCCGTGGATTCCCGTACTATTGCGTTGATCGGCTCTTTCTGCATATGGTCCAACAATCACGATGCACTGCCCTCTGCTGCTCACCCCGAATCCCTGCTCATTTCACGTTCGCATCTCGGGTGAAATGGCTATGGCGGACATGTGAACTGATAGCCAAGCCTGAAAGTCTGCTGTAAATGGCTATGAGTTCTAACGGTGTGTTATAATGTTTATGTTAATAAGAACGGTTGTGGCATATAAACAAACCTGAAAAATACAATTACTTCCGAAACCTGGGGTAACTCTCTAACATAGCAATTACCTTGAGCCAACATTACCCAGAATTCCATTGGAGATTTCATTTGTAAACTATGCTTCCAGCTAACCTAAATGTACACTTTCCTAACTAGTGTATGTTTTAATTAGGTGCTATTTTGTGTTGCAATACGACGGTGTCAATTTATTTAACATTTTCAATTATCGCCACGTAAAATATTTTTAACGGCCCATAGAGTAAAGGTATAGGATTCTGGGTCATATAGGGATAGTGGGAGCAACTCAACTCATACTTACCTGACAGGGGAGGCACCATGATCACTTAGGTGGTCCTCCCAGGGCGAGGATCATCCATTGCACTGCGGGTGGGTTGACCCCTGCGATTTCCCCAAATGCGAATATTAAAGAAAAAATGGAGCTATGCAATGTACAATACGTGTTTTGCTATTTGTAGTTTCTTGTTAAAAAACCAGATTTGTTAGTGGTTTTATGAACCATTTTAAAATTAACCATGCTTCAAATCACTTTAAACTATTGTCATTGTAGTCCGTATTTCATGTGGCGCTGCACTCAGATGCTGTAGGAGAAAACATGTATTAAAAAGGCGGCGTTGGAAAGCTAAAGTTTAGCATAAAATTCACTTGAAAGTATTCAACGTCTACCTAAAACTGCAGATGTTCAGAATATTATATTGAAATGCTCTTATATTTATCACATATTATAACTATCAAAAAATACTTGAAACTTTGTAGTAGAACGAAGCAAAATGGAGAGTACAATTATAACAATCACATATTCATTCCACAAAATGAAAAGTCCTTGGTAGAATCATTAGAATCAAAATGTTTAATAAAATTCATTCAAAAAATTTATGAAATGCTCCTTAAGGGAAAATATAAAAGGTGACCTTAGTAAATTAAAAAATAACAAATAGCTAATAATGAAAATGAATAACAATTAGTGTAGTTATAACAATTATATTTAATGAATTTAAGGTTTCGCATTTTGATGTGACGTCACATTTCTCAAACCCCCCTCTCCGAATCAGAATCAGAAAGGGTTTTATTCGCCATGAAAGTTCACACCGACACGGAATTTACTTTGGCAGGATGGTGCATACATTCAACATATAGGAATCTAAAATCTTGAATAAGTTTTAAACAAGTCTTACTATAATAATAAGGGTTCAAAGTCTAACTAACACCAAGGGGCTGAAGTATATAAAATTGATTAAATATTGAATATAAAATAGCTTGAAGATATAATTTAAAAATAAAATACAAATAGGTTAACATAGTTAATATCGGCAAGGTGTCATTATGTAGATAAAATGTT